CTGTCAGTCTAATTCTGTGATTAGATTTCAAAAAATTGCGAATTTAGTGGTTGTTTAGTAATATACGTAACCGCGAAGTCGAATGGAAGTTTAAAGGACTTGCAGTTCTTTCTCGGAGACGGTATTATTGACTCATTTTTCGGAACTATAGCACAACAAAAGCCATCAACAGTGTATATATATGTGATATATATCCGGGAAAAAAGTAATTTATGAAAAGTGACATTTTATAACCTGCCAACAGAGATGAAATGCCAAACTTTTTTCCCGTCACAGAAAAAACCTATTTATTAGCAGAAAAGTTATGATGAAATCAAAACATTTCAAGCAATCTGACCTCTTCTGAAGATTTTGTCTGAAATCTCCATGAAAAAAGTAGATATTGTGATGGTTCCTGAAATTAATAGTGTTCTCAGTTTTGCACTGATGTATAAAAATATTCAATAATCATATTTAAACAATGAACAATTCAAAGTAGAAAATAAAGGGCGGAGTTCAAATTTGGTGGTGTCACCACTAAATTGTTCTTACTTCTCTGTATATGAATGTATATTTGTCAATGAACTTTTGAGATTATCCTAACAAAAGGCTTCTGAGTCCAATAGTGGATTCAAAGTTTCATAAAAAGCTGATACGTATAACATTAAGCATCACACCCGATTAAGCAGTTTTTGACATACAAAAAAATTACAAGAATACCATGGTATATGCGCTTTCTGGTTTTCTCTGTTCTAGATGAGGATTAACCTAAAATTTGTCATTTGATCTCAATATATCGAATCGGTGAAAAATCAATGTTTTCAAAAATGGTTCTGCTGAGTTCGGCCGAAGCTAGCACAGCCACAGAGTTCTCCGAGGATTTTTATATGATGGAGAGGAGCAAAAAAATGTGAATAATAATAATAATAATAATAATAAATGCTTTTATTGGTCAGGCTAGGTACACACACGCACTTATATATATTGTACATCTATACTTTCGTATAGCCTGTCAAAAGGCAGAGTTCAAATTTCCTGTAAAGACAGGAATAGTGTAATAAATTAGTCTAAAATGAGCACTACAATTTCACTATATCATAAAGTGGCTTTGCTATGAGTTCGGCTGAATCTATAGCAAAACCGCAGATTTTCCTATGATAGAAAGGAGCTATAAATTGGCCTAAAATGAGCCTGAAATGATCCTGAAATTATGAGATGTATTTCATGTTGAAATTCATGAGTGGCTTTGCTAGCTTCTTAAGTATCAAAAATACGGCGAAAGGACCAAATATGCCTTAATGAAATATTCACTGACAAGAAATGTAATTCACCAGCAACATTGATCTGACCTCGGATCTGACAATCCAAACCAAACTCTTCAGAAATAAAATAATATTTGTAATCCCCTTCCGTGAGAACTGTTCAATTGCGTTTTTCCAGAAAACGGATGAAAATAACCGTTTTCAAACAGGAATACTAATATTACGTATAGAAATGATGTATATGTCATAATTTAATCAAAATCATTGAAAAGTTTCCTCAAAAAAAGTACAACAAGGTGTAGAATTAGACGTAAAATAATATTCCCTGGATAAAATTAAGCCTTTGTGCCGAATTTGCAATCGATGAACAAACAGTGAAATTATCAGCAAAAAATAAAAAATATAATAAACTTCCCGCCCTGTATTTTTTCCACAGCAATATTTTATTGAGGCATATTCGGTCCTATCTCCATTTTTTATCAAGACAATCCGCCCTCAGCCTATGTCACAATAGTAATCACTCACCCTGTATAAGAACGTTGATTCTGATTATGTAATATTGTAATAATATACGCGGTGTTCAGTTTGAAATAAAGGCGCAGTTGTAGCCTCCACTGCCGGTTCAAGCAGAAGTCATATAGCTGAAGAGCTTTTCATTCGTATTCGACTAAACAAAGGTTTCAATGAACGATTGGAAAATCGAAGAAAACTCACTTCAAGGCCAAGAGGACTTTTCGAAAACAAAATGATTAGTCGATATCGACTAGTAAATACAACTAATTATTATCGTTAATTATTTATAATTTTCAAGACGTTTTCAATAATTATTATATTACCTACATGAGAAAAACAACCTTGAGAAATCAACAATCATAAAGGAAATGAGTGTTTTCGCGATTTCCAACTTGTTTTCTTTGGTTTTTCCCTCGGTTTTTCCAATCAAATAATTCCTTGGAAACTGTTTTCCAACTCGAGACTGGTTACACAACCGTGATTATAAAGACCAAAGATCAAGAAAAATCATCGATGTCATACAATTACATATTCATTTATTCGCGTTCTGGGAAATATTTTCCACATCTAATTTATATGATTTTATAGCTATTAATAGCATGTTTCGCGTTTTTCTACATATTTTCCAGCAATTATATCTAACGAGCGAGTAAGAATGTGATTGGAAAACAAGTTTTCAAATAGGTGTGCACCGTGCCACCGCTTTTCAGTATTCTTCAAAGCGAGTTCCTTTAAAGTTGTTGTTCGATGCTTGTGCTCAAGGTACCTACTTCTAACGAATTATGTTTCGAAATCTCCAGTACAGTGTTGATTATCTGATACAAAGTGGTTCAGTTTCGGCGAATGACATTTTCGGAATTATTGATGGAAAGTGCAAAGCTAACTACATTGGTATGTAGGTCTCAATCAAATTTACAATATCTAATATCTATTTGGGGAAGTACAAATATTTCACGTTTGAAGCCAGTCATGAAATTACAAAATAAAACAATAAGGTACATTTTCAATTTACGTTTTTTAGAATCAACTGTATATCTATATAAACCTAGAGACTTGCTGAATCTAGTTTCATTATATAAATAAATAAATAAAAATTTGTTGTTTTATTCATTTTGTCAGGAAGGAATTGGAACTATCAAATTCGAATTTTGATGAAGTTAATACGATTTACGCCCATGAAACAAGGCAATTCAATTTATTGATAGCAAATAATTATAAGTCACATTTTGCTCAAAAATCAATATTCCATAATGGAATAATTTTATATAACTCCTTATACCTAATGAATAGAATAATATAGAAGAAGCAGAAAAATTTAAAATCAATTTAAAGAAATGTCTGCTCAGTAAACTTCAATTCCATATCATATGTTGAAAGAGAATATATTTATTTCTACCAACTTCAGTAAAATGAATTTGTAAAAAACTAAGAGATTGAGTATTGAACAGGAATATTCTCAAATACTTATATTATGTCATAAAAAATACATATAATAATGAAATACAATGAGAATTTGCATAATCTATGTGATAAAAATTATTAATTCTTTCTTGGTATATTCAACAGTAAACAACTACTTTCCTGGCAATAAATCACGACTAACATTGAATTATATCTATTGAACACACACACAATAAGAATTTGGAACGTTGCATAGCAACAGACTTTTTCTGTCTAAGCAGAGAAAGTACACCTTTGCTGCCTATTATGAGTCATAGAAAAGCCACCTTCTATGCCGTTTGGAGAAAAAATATAACTTACCAATGTATTCAGTATCGAAATGAAAATTGAGATGTATACTCATAAAAACTCCGATCTTGATGAGCTTGGAGAGAATGAGATTATTTTTTATTATATCATTTAACTGCAATCGTTCAATAATATTTTATTCAACCCGAGATTTAACATGATAGCATTACTTGAGCAAATTTCATGATACTTGATAGTAGTTCGAGTTTCTTGCGAGAAAATATACCTATTTTAACCAACTTCAGTGAGAAACGATGAACTTCTACCAGAGATCAACATTAATAAAATGAATTTGTGAAAAACTGACAAATTGAGATATACTATCGACCTATTTCGTATTATTTTGTGTGACTGAAGCAGATTCATTGTGTTTTGTTCAACCTAACAATGTTATGGATATGAATTATATTAATACTACATATTGCCGAGTTTTCTTAAAACAATAGTACTTACTAAAAGTAGGTATATTGTTTAACGAACACGGAATGATAGTGATTTCCCACGAGAATGAAGTTTGCTGCTAGAGCCGTAGGCGTAGTTAAATTAGACACTATACTTTTTCTACGGCTGTAACATAATAATATAGCTAACATCGACATTTTTTATTTCTTCGGCTCGAAGCCATCTGATTTTATCTTAAATCATGCTCATCTATTTCACGGAGCTGTCTTTGATTGAGATTTGACATTTCATGGGAGGACATGGGAGATGAGATTTTGTGAAATAATAACACAATGAAGACATTGTGATATCAGATACGGAAATGAAATTAATGATATACAAAGTACATCATTGATTTATCGAACACAGTGAAACAGAAGAGCAATTTTGTTTTATAGCCGTAGAAAAAATATATTTCCACCAACTATAGTGGAAATAGTGGAATAAAATTAGTCAAGAATAATAGTTTAAACTACCACTCAGCTGCCTTATTAATATTTTGCGTATTTTGTATTTTATTTAGCGTTATCTTATCCTAGTATTCTTTAAATTCCGGTAAGAATTTTCTTACCAAATACCACTCTACCCGAATCTAGCTTGAATTAAAAACCGGAATTTCTTTGTCGAACACGAAAATTTAGAAAATTCTCTATCATCTTCAACTCAGCATGATTTTCAGATTATTTGTGTTCTCGAAAAAAATTCTGGTAATAATTGAAGCTCTCGTGTTATTATAAGTGGAAATTCACGTACTAGACTACTAGAGTTTATCATATTAATTATTCCGCATGTTATGCAATTATTTTTCATTCAGGTAATATTTTTCCATTTCATTTTCGTATATTATTACCTCGAATATCAGCTCACTATATTTTAGTTACTCTCACGGATTATCATCATCGATATTATTATCATGCATCAATGTTTGAAAAAATTGTTCATCAACAAATCAACGTATATCAACCGAAGCATCCTTCTATTTCGGCTTTTCAAAATACCTTGAAAAAAGTGTTACTGGAATAAAAATATCGAAATGATTTCCATTATTTATTTGCAGACGATGGATCCTGCGATAGTGGAGATTTACAGGATGGCAACGTTGCATTAAGTGATGTCAGTAAGTGTCCCCGTGTGCCTAAATATACAATTTTCATACAATATTTTCGATTTGAATGTTGAACTAAATTAATTTTCTTTGATTGCAGTTGAAGTCATAGCGACTGATCCAGATTTTAGACAGAGAACAGAAACAAAAAATCCCGAAATGTTCAATGGAGGAGGAGAAATTCCCGTACCACAACCTATCAAATCGTCGATACAGGCTCGAAAGTAAGTGAATTCACTCATTGATTAACCCAAATCTCCTGATTATATCGAATTCCTGGCAATCTTAAGTAAATCAATGGAATACCGAGAGCGACTGATGAGACCCAGTGGCCCGAAACAGTATTCTAGTGAATCCATAAAATACCGAGAGCGTTAATTTTGCACTTATGTGCAGAACATTAATTCTGTTAGCTGACTAGCTGGTTGCATTGTTTTTGTAAGCACTAAGAATTTATTGAGAAATGCAACAAACGAAGTATTCATAATTGTGTTGGCCGCCAGCTGGTATGATTATTCACCAAATATGGAAGACTCGCCCAAAAAAAAATTGTCTTGTTGATTATCATTTTATAAAATGTGTCATTGAAATACACATTTCATCTTAAATTTCTCCATAGCTTTGGTCGATCATTTATTTTGAAATTATGTTTATTAGTTGTTGGCGTTGTTAGTAGTTGTGATAATTGATTACTGTTTTTTTACTATCACTTCGCTAACTTTATAATAATAATTATGTTTATAAGTGAAACACAAATCTTTTCAAGGTCAAATAACGCAAAAACCGTTAAAGCTAGATAATTTGAAATAGAAGAATACATTGAATTGAACCGGCTTTCAGATTTTTCGCTCATTTTAACCTTAATTTAATGGACTAAGAAGATATGGTGCAATCGCAAAATAAGTAACAAGTTCGTATTTCTCATATCAGATAAGCTGATAATACAAAATGTCATGTTCATGCTGTTAAAACTTACAAAGTTATTGAGAAATTTCAAAATAAAATCTTCCCTGAACTATCCTAAACCATCAGCAACATTCTAATTAGTCATTATAGGCTGAATCTTCTATTTTGTGGTTCCGAGATCGCCCATTCTCAATGAATCACTCTGTATAAAGTGTACAAAACAAAATGAAAATGCAAGTAGCTGTAAATGCGCATCCCGGACAGGCGGAAGAAGGCCGTGAAATTTCCAACTCTTTTTGTGAAATATCTCGGTAAACAGTGGTTTGTTCACATTTTCATCATCAAATTCGTGTTTTCCAGACGAAAATACGTGGGTAACAACAAACATTTAAAACAAAAACACCGCATGATAAGTGCGAAATTACCACGAGAGCAACTGATGAGACCCGGTGACCCGAAACAGTATTCTAGGAAATCCATAAATGACTGAGGGTGACTGATGGGACTCGGTGGCCCGAAACAATGCCCGATTTCTTATACAGTGTCATTCATAAAGTCGGCATCATATGGGAAAAACTTTTATTAATGTCTGATTTTGTAATTCGAGTTGTACGTTGAGTTTTGCTTCAATAAAGATGAAAAATGGCCTCCTCAATCGGGGTCACGTGACTTTCGCAACATGTCAAAAGTGACATTTTTTCAAATTAATCGCTGAAAGTAGGCTTATTTGTTCGAATATCGAAAAAGTTTACTTGAAAAAGTTGTTTCTATTTCAATTTTACACATGCTTCTCGAATTTGATCTTTCTATTGCAACTTTTAGATTTTTTTTTTTTTTTAATTCTTCAAAATTTCTGTAATATTTGGAGAATTGTTTATTTCACGAAACTACTTCATACCAGTAGCTTTTTCATGCTACTCACTTTCAATTACTTATTATCACTGATTATGGACAAAAATATGATTTTCTTCAGAAAATGATAATACCCGCTTCCAAATTCTGTTATGTTTGATGCAAAGTTGATATATCGTCAAGCATTTAGAAACGAAATTCATTCAAACTGATCTTTTCAGTACTGAAAAAATAAGTTCAAATGAATTTCGTTTCTAAATGCTTGACTCAAACATAACAGCATTTTGATGTTATGTTTGCATCAAACATAACAGAATTTTGAAGCGGAGATTATCATTTTCTGAAGAAAATCATATTTTTGTCGATATTTAGTGATAATTAGTGATTGAAAGTTAGTAGCATGATGAAGCTACTGGTATGAAGTAGTTATATCGAATTTACAATTTTTTTAATATTACAGAAATTTCGAAAATTTTTAAAAAATATCGACATCTAAAAAATGTAATAGAAAGATAAAATCCGAGTCACATAATATGTAAAATTGAAATAGAAACAACTTTTTCAAGTAAACCTTTTCGATATTCGAATAAATAAGCCTACTTTCAGCGATTAATTTGAAAAAATGTCACTTTTGACATGTAGCGAGTCACGTGACCACGATTGAGTAGGTCATTTTTCATCTTTTTTGAAGCAAAACCTGACGTCCAACTCGAATTTCAAAATTAGTCATTAATAAAAGTTTTTCCCATATGATGCTGACTTTATGAATGACACTGTATACAGGGTGATTCTAAAGTAAGCGGCATCCTTTCAGGGGCGTTCTCCTTGCAGGAATATAAGGCTGAAAGTTCCTATTAATGAGGGTCCGAAAATGCTTCCCAAGGAAGCTACGCCCTTTTGAATAGGAGACCTCAAAGACGATTTTTCCCCTAAAACTTTAAAATCCTTCACAATACATTTTCGAAAATTGGTGTACGTCATAAACATTTGATGGTCAATAGGACTGTCAATTCAAAATTCCGAAATATCATTCATGGGCGTCACATGCGAAGGCTGATAAGTGTAAAAACATCCCTTCTTCTTTTGTTATTCAGGTTATTGTGATTTACGCAAATCAGAAAGTTTTCAGAGTCGATTTTCTCCTAAATGGTACGCTCTATCGAAATTAACTAGAAGTACCATTTTTACGTGAAAAACTAGGATTTTATAATTTCCAAACGAAATCACAATAACCTAAATATCAAAAGAAGAAGGGGTGTTTTTACACTTACCCTCCCCCGCATGTGACGCTCCTGAATTGAATTTCGGAATTCTGAATTCAGAGTCTCATTCACCATCAAATCTTCATGCCGTACACATTTTCGAAAATTTATCGTAAAGGATTTCAAAGTTATAGAGACAAAATCGTCTTTGAGGTGTCCTATTCGAAGGGGCCCAGCTCCCTTAAAAAGCATTTTCGGGTCCTTTTTTATTAATAGGACCTTCTTGTCTTATTTCCATGCAAGGAATAGGCCCCTGGAAGGATGGCGCTCATTTCTGAATCACTCTGTATATTATCTGACTCACAAGATCTGGATCTCTCTAGAGGCAGACATGTGCAATAATTGTGCATGTGATCACTGATCAATTTTTTTTGTTTCGGCAGACAAGCCTACGTGAAGATCGTCGAGCAACCGGCGTCGAAGGCCCTTCGGTTCCGGTATGAGTGCGAGGGCAGGTCGGCGGGGTCGATTCCGGGCGCCCGGAGCACCCCGGAGACAAAGACCTACCCCACCGTGCAGATAGTCGGCTACCAGGGTAGGGCGGTGGTGGTAGTGTCGTGTGTCACCAAGGACGCTCCCCATAAGTGAGTATTTTTTTAATATTGTGTGTGTGTGTGTGTGTGTGTCGTTGTTTCGGCTATAGTGAAAAAAACTGTTGCTCAATGATAGTTGTCTTTTTTACTTTTCCGTCGACCTCGTATTAACGAGTAAGTTTAATGTTGATGAAATCGTTCATTAATGACCCCTATTAATGATCAATTTGTCTATTAATGCATGATTGTTGTATAGGCAACCAAACACACAACGCGTGCATTCATTGTTTATGCTCTATAACTTACGGAATCTGCATTTAAATCGGAAATATGGATTTCATCGAAGATTTTCCGTTAACGGGTTCGCCTTTCCAAGTTTCTGACACGATTTCAATCCCTGTTTTCCAACACAAGGAAATTAATTTTCTATGTTGATCATTTCGACAAATGTCAAATGTCACTAATGTCAGTAACAAGGCTACTTGGGTGATTCTTAGTAGTTTACGGATGAATGATGAATTCGCGAACCAAATTTTCTTCATTACAGGAGAAATGAGAAATTAAGTCGACGGAATTTTTTTTTAACCAACTCGTATATTATGGTGAATGTAAGAAACTTCACAAACGATAGGATTTCCACAAAATTTTTAATCACACGATATATCGGATCGAAGACTTTTTTTATATTCTGGTTCCCACGAAAAGGGATATCCTGTAATGTTCAGAGAACATCGTGAGAACCAAGAATAAGGTAGGAATTGGTGTTCTTCTTAAATTTCTGGAGGTTATATGCCTCGGGGAATACCTCCCTTGGCAATGTTTTCCAGAGCCTCGCTGATCGTTGGAAAGAGATGTTCTGCAGGTCTCCAAAGTGACCACGAAGGGGTGCGGAGCCCCAACTCGACGGGTCAATCTCGCGGGGACTGCCAAGGGAGGAACAATTGTTCAAACATTTGTTGATAATTCAGAAGAGCATCGTCCATGAAAATATCTATAAAATAGAGCCAGATCGCCAACTTTTTTACTCTACGGTGTTCCAGAAAAGTGAGTGGGTTTGTGAGCCAGGCATCACCCAAGAGACGAATCGCCCTCTTTGGACAGAATCCAACAGTTTCAGGGTATTTTTGGGTACTGCACTCCAAATATGCCATTATAATACACTGCGCACTGTTTCACCACCACCAACCAAACCGATTCTTTACGCCTCGACACGTGTTTCGCTAACTATCTTAGCATCTTCAATATAATCAATATGCGCGCTAGAGCCATCTCCGTTGTATAACGGCATGTTCTCCTGCTACCATTTTATTATGCCAATGTCTGATAAAACATAATACTGGCACAACAAACAAACCTGGCTCTGCAGTGTCAGTGCCTGAGCAGAAACGCTGCTCACCCGCCGAGGCAGGCAAGATATCCTCCCACTTGACCAACAGTGGGATTCTTCTTCGCCTCCTCTATCGTAGACTGGTGGTGTTTTTTGGAAACCGCTGCCCCCTGGAGTCCAACCCAATTGGTGAGGAATCAGGTCGTATGTACGACCTAATGGGGCCATCCTCATCAGCCCAGGTACCCATGTAAACAAGATTCCTCTTGTTACGTTTGATGGGTCGCCGTCGCAAGAAGCTTTGGCCTGATTGCTACTCATGTTGACAAGAATCCTCTCGTCCCGTTGAATGGGTGATCGTTCGAGGACTTCTACACGTTCCTCTACCTCGTTTACAGGAGAGGACCCGGCTTTGCCTCCGATGACTGGCGGTAGGATCGCTTGGGGATGCCCCCTCCCTGTCGAACTAAAGCACAAAATACACCAAAGTTCCATTTTTCGCAGGGCTAGCCCAGCTACCCATATCGACCGAAATCCTCCAGTCCCGTTTAATAGGTGTCCGTCCGCAGGCTTTGACACGTACCCTACCATGACGAGAGTGGTGACCTCAAGCTTTTAACCAGAGGTGCCTGGAATCACCTGGGTCTACCCCCACTCGACGCCGTGAGTGTATGGTGGGCCCACGGCCACTTAGCATCTTCAGGAGAAGATTAAAACTAGATGTTCTATCCTAGTGTGCTACTAATATACTAGGTATATGTCCACTTAACCGTGAAAGACACCGCCAAGTGAATGTTAGTTATGATTGAGTTCACATGTTCACCTTGATCTTATTTCACTAAACTATACAGAGGGCTATATGGAATAGGTCCATTACTCCTATTACTATTCTTAAATATCTCTCAGCTTTCATGGGCATCTAAGTTATTATCATTATTAACTTGCTTAACTGATTTGAGATTGTTAATATATGTATTATGATTGTGATCAAGCATGTCTTCGGCTACACACGATTTATCTAACCTACCATATTTCAAATGTGCTAAGTGTTCTTTGAACCTTGTTTATATGGGTCACCTGGTTTGGCCTATATATTTATATTACAATCATTACAACTAATTTCGTATATTCCTGACTTAAGCGTTTATCAGTCTGGGTCAAAAATAAGCAATTCATTAGGTGATACAAAATAAGGTGGACACGCTGGAAAAGTCAGGAATGTGCGAAATTAGTTGTGATGATTGTGATAAAACATATATAGGTTAAACCACGACGACCCATAAAAACAAGGTTCAAAGAACACTTAGCACTTTTGAGATATAGTAGGTTTCATAAATCGTGTGTAGCCGAACACATGTTCAATCACAATCAAAACTCACATATTATTAACCTCACATTAGTTAGGCAAGTTGATGCATATGAAAGCTTAGAGATATTTGAGAATAGTGAAACAGTGATGAATAAAGATAATGGACCTATTCCATATAGCCCTCTCCTTGTTTCGGTATTTCCTGTCGAAGTTGAACTGAATGCACCTTTCTATGGCTTGAATTTCCGCTTGGAAAACGCTTGGAAAATGGCCCATCGGTTCGGAATATTTAGTGCGAGGCCCAAACACTCTTGCTCCAGTTCCTTTGGGTGTTTTAGACCCGTCTGTATACCATATTATGGTATTCTTTTCCAGTGCTTGGATGGAATGTTCTGTTCGGAATTTTTTTCTCGAAATTGAACTTTCTGATACTTTCATTGGTTGGGAGAGGTGCACTTCCAGTGGGCAGTGAATCCCCCACGTTATGTGCTTTGCCTTTGTCAATTTCAACCCCTTAACGACGACATTTTTGCAACTATAGTGATTTCGAATCAAATTTAAAGAATTTTCGACGCTTCTCAACGTTCTGTAGCTTCTCAAAAAATTGTTTGTCCTCAATATTTCTCGCACTACATCAGCCACTTCATTCCTTCGCAAAAAATATTTGTTGATAACAATTAAAATGGAATTTCCAAGTGTTTGGTGATATTTTTCACACCAATTGTTACGTTAATTTACTCGTTGATCTGGGAACGCAGTGAACACACTGTATTTATTTATAGGTGACACTATCATTGAGGAACAATAAACCAAATAACTGGTTACGATTACGCTTATGTGTTTGGCGAGATACCAAAAGTAGTTTAACATAACAATAAAGCACTTTCTAATTTGCATGAACTACTATAAGTAAATAAGCATTCATGTCATGAGTAATTATTGTACTGTGTGGAACTGAAGATATCTTAATTTCATTTTGATGAACAAAAGATGCTTTTCAAGTGTAGTTGATTACTTTCATAGTACCAGATATGTAATTATCGTCGAGAAAATTGCCAAGGTCAGCGGTAGCGACCTTGACAACAACATTGGATCTTTGTTTATAAATATAAGAAAAAAAAATATGTTTTAATAGTTATTGTTTAATTCCTTAACGTATTAGCCACGGTTGATACTTGTAAGATGTTTACTACTTAAATCTAATGGACTTTGGATACACATATATCTTTATTCTTTATTCGTTTTCAAATATGTTCAGATTATCGAGTGACACGTGACATAAAGCCTGAAGAATTCAGATGGGCTCTTTTTTGGCAGGGATCCAAAACGTATTCAACACACTACATTTATTAATAAACTAGAATAGCTCGCCAACGCACCTGCCGAGTTTTGCATGGTTTCTACAGCAGAATTAATTTTCACTTGGAAAGCTCAAATTGTAAATCAGATAAGTCAGTTGAAATTCAGAAAGATCCATTCGTAATTCAGAAGCGTCAATAATAATTGTGATTCATATTAGTCAATAGAAATTCAGGAAGCTTTAATTGTAATTCATATTAGTTGATTGAAGTTCATATAAAACATCAATTGAAAATCAAAAATCATGAATTGTAATTCAGAAAGCATCATTTGTAACTCAAAAATATCAAATGTAATTCAGATTGGTCAATCCTGGAAGCTCCAACTGTAAATCGTATTAGTTGATTGAAGTTCATAAAGCATCAATTGAAATTCAGAAAGCATCATTATAGGTATAGTAATTGAGAACCCGTAAAATGTAATTAAAAAACACCAATTTTGAGTCAGAAAGTTTCAATTGTGATTCAGATTACTTGACTAAAACTCAGAAAGCTTTATTTGTAATTCGAAAGCGTCAATTGTAATTCATAGCAGTCAATTGAAATCCAGGAAGCTCCAATTGTAATCAATATTGGTTGACATAAGTTCATAAAGCATCAGTTGGAAATAAATTAGATGAATGAATTACAATTCATCGAGCAATTCCTAAAACAGCAATTTTAATTAAAATAGAGATCCAGAAAGCTTTAGTTATAATTTAAAAACATCCAATGTGATTCAGATTAGTTACTCAATTAAAATTCGGAAAGTTTCATTTGTTATTCAAAAGCGTCAATAATATAATAATGATTCACATTTGTCCATTGAAATCCTGAAAGCTCCAACTGTAAATCGTATTAGTTAATTAAAGTTCATAAAGCATCAATTGAAATTCAGAAAGCATCATTAGTAATTGAGAACGCGTAAAATGTAATTAAAAAACACCAATTTTGAGTCAGAAAGTTTCAAATGTAATTCAGATTACTTGACTAAAATTCAGAAAGCTTTTTTTGTAATTCAAAAGGGTCAATTGTAATTCATAGCAGTCAATTGATATCCAGGGAGCTCCAATTATTGTAATCAATATTAGTTGACTCAAGTTCATAAAGCATCAGTCATCAGTTGGAAAAAAACTAGATAACATGAATTACAATTCATCGAGCAATTCCTAAAACAACAATAATAATTTAAATAAAGATCCAGAAAGCTTTAGTTATAATTTAAAAACATCCAATGTGATTCAGATTAATTACCTAATTAAAATTGCTCCATTTATTATTGAAAAGAGTCAATAATAGAATTATGATTCACATTCGTCGATTGAAATCCTGGAAGCTTCAGCTGTAAATGGTATTAGTTGATTAAAGTTCATAAAGCAACAATTGAAATTCAGAAAGCATTTGAAATTCAGAAAGCATCATTTGTAATTGAGAACGCGTGAAAATGTAATTCAAAAAACACCAATTTTGAGTCAAAAAGCTTCAATAGTAATTCAGATTAGTCAACTGAAATTCAGGAAGCTTTATTTGTAATTCAAAAGCGTCAATTGTAATTCACATATCATAGCAGTCAATTGAAATCCAGGAAGCTCCAATTGCAATCAATATTAGTTGACTGAAGTTCATAAAGCATCAATTTGAATTATACATCAGAAAACACCAATTAAAATTCGGGCAGCTTCAATTGTTTTTCAGATTAGTCAATTGAAATTCAGAAGAATCTATTCCTAATTCAAAAGCAACAATTGTGAGTCATATTATTGAAATGATATTCAGAAAGCTCAATTTGTAATTCAGAACGCTTCATTTGTAATTCAAAAAGCATCATTTGTAATTCAGAGTGCTTCAAAATGCTCGTAAATTGGTAATGTGGCATTTTGCATGTATATTTTTGTATTTGCCTTGATTTTATATTTAAAAAAAAAGAGACTGGCTAGTAATTTCGTGTTCGCCTGACCGATTTCTCAAGGGATAATTTTGAAGCAGTGTTGTTGAATCATTTTCAGGCCCCACCCCCATAACTTGGTGGGCAGAGAGGGATGCAAGAAGGGGGTGTGCACCCTCGAAATACCCCCGGACACCATGACTGTCCAATTCTCGAATTTAGGCATACAGTGCGTCAAGAAAAAAGACATTGAGCACGCGCTCAGGGTTAGGGAAGAGATAAGGGTGGATCCCTTCAGAAGTAAGTGCAGTAGAGGGAAGAAAAAACTAATGATGATGACGTCTTGGTTCGTCTGCTTTGTGTGTATACAGGGTGTGCCGCTTAAAATTGAACCCCCCCTTAACTTCTTTGTTTTTGAAGATAGGAAAAAATTTTTGGAAAAAAAGTTGTATGAAATTATTCGAATTTTGATTTCAAGATATTGTTTGATATACAGGGTCTCTTATTTTTCAGAAATGATGAATCAACTGTTTTTCAAACGGAACACTATGAATATTTTTCGACGATTCAATAGAGCTGTTCTTTCTGCATCCATTGATACCAACAACATGCATATTTGGATCGAACATGATTGAGTTATTGACGATTGAAGTTGACGAAAATACTCATATAAGTGAACTTAGTGGGCTTTGAAAAAATGTCGATAATATTATTTTTCTACATTCATGCAAAAAGCAGACCTTTATTGAACTATATTTAGTGGAAAAAGAAGTTATTTATTGCACTTAGTGCAATAAAGTTTTTATTGCACTCATCTGCCATTCTACTTCAACGTGCTGTCATCATGACACACATTTTTTGTATTGCAACTGTGGTTATAGAAACGTCAGTCAAAAATTAATTCTGACAATTAACAGAATTGTACCTAGTGCCGCACCTCAATAAATCGTGTTTTGCTTTTTGCATGAACGTAGAAAAAATGTTGTATGCAACTCGTGCAAAAATAACTATTTTCTACTCACATAACTGAAATGGCATTTAGCGTACAGATATGTACTACGCTAAATGATCGATTTAATCACGGATTGACGATCTCTGTGATTTATTCAAAATATTAAACACGTTACCATGGCAACACGATTTCTCAAACAAATTACCATGGCAACACAGTTCATTAAACACAGCTTCAGTAATTTGAGACAGGTCTGGCCTGTCAATTGTATTAACTGTCAACTGTTATTTTCAAATTTTGTATCAGAATTATTCAAACAATATTCGTTTGTATCAGAATTCTGCATTAAAAATATATGCGAAATGTAGACGAAAGTGAAATCGAAGAGAATGTTCTGGTACTTGCATATCTCCAAGTGTAAAAATGAAGCATCTATCTTTGAGAACAATTTATTTATTCTGCGCTAAGCATGACAATAAACGTGAAACAAAGGTTAGTAAGCAATGGACTGGATACATCTACAACCAATATCACTTATACGTGTCTCGCTGGTTGCATGCAGTTGCATGTATTATGTTCTCAATTCCCATTCCTTTCGAATTATTTTGTAGGTTATCAGGAAGAGCAGGTATGCTAATGTAATTTTCGGAGTTCGTAGAAAAAGCATAGTATGTAACGCGTTTATAAACTCTTCTAGACACTCGTTTATTAAACACTCGCTCCGCCGTTTATAACACTTGTTACATAATATACTATTATGTTCCATGGAGATGTCAATATATTAGTTTTTATTTTTTAGTTCAAAACTTTCCGAGTGGATTAAAATGGGCTACAGTTCGAATGGAAGATGTGATATCTTAATAATATACATTTTTTGTGGGTAAAATGCAACCGCTGCTTGTAGAAAATATGCGCTTCGGTTTGGAGAGCGTCCACTTCCTTCTCGTAATACCTTCGACGTGATTTTCGAGAAGTTCAGAAGATGAGTCGACAGAAAAAGATCCTTATAGAAAAATTTCATCAGAAGGTGTCAACTATGCATTGACCAAAATGGTGGGATTTTTGAAAATTTTGTGTAAATGAGTGTTATGTTCAGAACAGTTTATTGAATTGATATCGTTTATGGACCGTTTTTTTATAAAGTTTTGTTGTAAAAGAATTTTTCAACTACATTCATTACAGAACTTTCAATGATAATATGCAACAACTTGACATCAAAATAAAGCGTAAACATCAATATATTGGAATTTCTTCAAAGCCCACTATATTCACCATAAATTATGTGTAGATTTATTAAACAACAAAAAAAAAGGATAGAAATCATGATCCATATGAAGCGGTATTCTGGTAAACTTTGATCGTCAATAATTCAATCAATTTCTATCCAAATATGCGAGTTGTTAGTTTCAACAAAATCAGGAAAACAAGTTCTACCGCCCTGTCAAAAAATATACATATATACAAGAGTTGATATCCATTTCTGAAAAATAAAAGACCCTGTATATCAAAAAATATCTTGAAATCAAAATTCAAATAATTTTATACAACTTCTTCCATATCTTCAAAAAACAGAGAAGTTGAGGGAGGGGTTCGATTTCAAGCGGCGCACCCTGTACAGTGTGTGCCATTTTTTCGTGGTCAGCTAAAAAAAATCTCATTGTACCTAAGTTACTCTCTCTTTCTTCAGGTCGGTTGGCACTTCTTCTTTTCATGTCCACTTGAAAAAAAATTTAATCCCTCAATACAAATATATGAACTGTGAAACTGCTTTTGGTATACTTGTAAAATAATTTGACACATAAAGTAGTGATGGTTTCGATCCGGAGATATAAAATAGGACATTTTCCATTCATATTTGGGAAAGATCGTTTTTTGAGTGTTCTCGATAATTATTTCAGGAACAACCAAATATCCAATTTTATGATTTTTATTTCAGAAAATATCTGCATTTCAGAGAAGCCTCAATCATACAGGATGTTCTACTTCTCTCTCTAACTTGGGAATAGGTTTTTGAAAACAATTAGGTTGATATTTTTGCCCCACACCTGGTTATAATAATCATTTAAATTTTTATTAAACTTTTTCAGAGATCTATTCATTCCTGAAGTAGATGCAAGAAAATATACTCAAAATGTTTTAGAGTTTGCTACATGGGATCACATATAGAGAAAAAAAATAATGGAGGATTTTTGTTCAAGGCCTCACCCATATAAACTGGTGTCGAAGTCCAACAACAAAGATTGTAGAGATGGGATCTTCCAAACGGAAGTAAATGTCAAAGGTCCATTCCATCTCGTAGATTTGAAAAATGTGGGGATTCAATGTGTGAAAAGAAGACGTATGGCCAACTCGCTTAAACTGAGAGAGGAACTCAAAATCGATCCTTTCAACAGTAAGTTTCATCACTCAATAGATCGATTTTCCTTACAATCACTTTCATTCTCGGTCATCCACCATCCATTTTTTTCTAATTCAGAAAAAAAATTCAACAAAAATGAGGAAACTTTATAATGCTGACCAATAAATGACACGACGCTCATCAAATCTAGCGTCTCTTGATCGAAATTGACGTTGAAGTCATCTTAACAGGGTACGGACAGATCCTCGTCTCCTCTCACTCTAAAGTGTTTGTGAAACAGTTATATAGTTCCATCCATATTCAATTCTGGGGATAAAGACTAGATTTTTGACATTTGTTGTTTTTTAGGTTATATTGAGGTCATTGGCGTATCATTCGGGATTTTCATATGAAATTCCTGATTCAACTATACCAAGATATAGATGAACAATCCTCTAGTTTTAGAGTTTACTACCCCAGCATAATCTTTGCGAGGTAGGGAACATATAAATTGTACTGAAAGCTCTATATACTTCACCAAAAGATACTGTTCTTAGACTGTATATCAGGGTTGACTGAATTGACTGATTGGATTCTGATTTCAAGCTGAGCAGCAGTTTATCTAAGAGCTGAATGAGCTGAGCCTTATGATTGAGAAATGGTGAAAACCTCGATGTGGGTAACTAAACTACTGTACTCATGTCATGTGTGCTAAATATATTTTCGGAAATCCAACTCGGAGAAGAATTTATGGAGTGACTAATATCACACTATGTATATAACTTATTCAATCGTAAAATCTTTTTATTTTCTTGAATTTTATAATCATTAACACTCATAAATCATTTGACACTGTCAATATTTTCTTTTTTCAACAATATACAAATTGTATTAAAAGTGTTTAAAAGTGTTTAAAAGTGTTTAAAAGTGTTTAAAAGTGTTTTTAACCGCCAGCTTAGTTGCAAAGCAACCCTCGAAAGTCAGAGACTTGAGAACGAATAATAAATATCATAACTAGATCACTAGCTGACTTGGCAAACGTTGTTTTGCTATGCAAAATATTTCTAGAAAATAATCTTCCAGTTGAATATTTACCAACATACTTTGATAATCTCATTTTCTACTTCTTTTCAGTTCGGCTGTCCATAAAAGCATTAGTTTTTCAAAATAATAATAATTTTATACTCCTTTTCAGCTCGGCAATCTATCTCTTCAGTTTTTTAAACTACTATTCATTCTCTACTTCTTCTAAATTCGTATCTATGAACGCGTGTTTAATTGATTTTTCAAACAACTATTTATTACATCTTGAATATCCCAATTTTGACAAAATATCATAAAGTTCGACCACGAAAACCCCCAGATACCAATCTTTGATAGAATCAGATCATGATTAGAAATGTCTTTCGCCATATCGGATCCGTCATCTTGAATTTTCAATTTTGACGAAAAAATCATTATCTCCTATCCCAAAAACCCCCATATACAATTTTGAATAGAATCTGATCTTAATTACAAAACTCGTCCACCATATTGGATCCAGAATCTTGAATATCCCAATTTTGACGAAATAATTATAATCTCCGACCCCGGAAATCCCCAGATACCTTCCAATTTTGGATAGAATCGGATCATAATTACAAAACTCGTTCGCCATATGATCTTCCTCAACAAGTAAATACCCTGTACATACCTATTATTGAAATTTTGAATGATTTTCTGTAGCGCCCATGGATGTGACGTGACAGCAATGTCAGGGATGCCAGTAGACAAAACTAAAGTCTCTATATCATTAAAAAAGAATGCAGCTATGGTCTGTCCCTACCCTGTTAAGATGACAAATACGTCAATTCACATCAAGGGACCCTAATCAAATCCAACTATTTCACCAAAAATCGCATATAAAAAAGTTGCAAAACGACGAAATTGGTGCTGTTACGGCCCTGGTCACAAAAATCGTTCAAATGTTGCACTGTTCGTTTATAGGATGCGGCCGCATTTTGCACGAAATCATTTATTTCTGAATGTTCAACAATAACTTTGTTTTATCTCTTGGAGCGCACGAAAGGAAATTCCTATTATGTTAGTGGAACATCGTGCGTACCTAGGGAGGCCTTTCAAGCTAGATCAACACTATTTTTCATTTCAAGCTATGCATATTTTTACTTTGGAACTATATTGTTTGACGTTTGGAGAAAATAGTTATTTTTGTATCTAGAGCGCGAAATGCTACTTTGGTAATCGAGATCTGATTTTTTTAACGAGGCTTAGCCGAGTTGAAAAAATAGTCGAGATGACCAAAGTATTTCGCGCTCGAGCTGCCAACAAAATTTTTTCTACAAACGTCAAAAAATATATTTCTGAAGTAAGTAAAAATATGCTTAACTTGATATGAAAAATAGTGTTGAACTGGCTTAAAAGGTCTTCCCCTATCCTCCCTAGGTACGAACGATGTTCCACGAACATAATAGGAATTTCCTTTCGTGCGCTCCAAGAGAAAAAACAAAGTTATTGTTGAACATTCAGAAATAAATGATTTTGTGGATGTCTGCTCGATTGAGGACCATAAAGTTGAAATATAAATATCTCATATATTTTACATAACAATGCGCGAAGTAGGTACTTCGCGCACTGTTTTACTTCGCGCATTGTAGGGAACTGAAAAAAAGTGTCACTTCGCAATTTGTTATCAATGCGCGAACCTTGTCATTTTTTGACGTTTGTAGAAAAAAAAATGTTGTTTGCAACTCGAGCGCGAAATACTTTGGTCATCTCGACTATTTTTTTAACTCGGCTACGCCCCGTTAAAAAAATCAGATCTCGATCACCAAAGTAGCATTTCGCGTTCTAGATACAAAAATAACTGAAAAAATATAAAATTGAAGGGTATTTGAGTAAGAATTCTATTTGAAAAATAAAAAAAAATAGTCCACTCGCCTATTACAGAGAGCAATACACTCCGATTTCGTCCTTTTCATCAAAAAACTGTACAGTGTGTCCAGTTTTCGATGCTTTTGCCTGATATCTCAGTTATCTTTGGAGATAGAACCTTGCAGCTTTCGCGGTCCTGTGCCACTTTTTTGTGAAACTCAAGATGGCCTAATCAGATTTTGCAAGACTGTTTCCGTTTATGAGATACAGGGCGATTTTGAAAATTTATACTTTTTGGACCCCCTCTATATCCACGAAGTTTCTCAACAAAAATGTCAAATCAAAATCTTATCGCATAGAGAATTTCACGCATAATCCAGTGGCGCACTTATTTTTTTTTTCGGGGTATGGTTTTGGAGATGCGACTCAAACTTATGATTTTTTAAATGGAACACCCTGTATTTCAGAAGCTCATTGAATTCCTTATATTTTTGTCTTCAAAATTATATATAACGAATGAATATAAAATTTTCAAAATTGCTCAAAATCACTAAAATATTGAATTTTGATAGTTGGTTATGGATTTTTCTTATAAAAATCGTTCCAATTGAAGAAATATTTCTTTAAATTTTTCCATGGAGAGGTCAAAACCAATATCAACACTTATTAATTAACAAAACACTGAACTTGGGTACCTGATAGCAACAAATAAATAGTAATAAAAAGTTCATAATGTAGAATAAGCACCTGATTAAATATTTACTAAAATAATTGAATTCCGGAATTATTCAATAACTTATTCATTGACATGTTCAAATTGATTCCCATTTTCCCTCGCATTTTCCCTAACATACAGTTGAAAAACTTTCTTAATACTTCTTAATACAGTGAGTGGCCCAACATACTTGAAGAACTTTGTGCAACAACAGAGGCAGTTTTTCAGGAATTACAAAGACATCTTTCAATGATTAATATGTATTGAGAAAGTTTGTGATGGAAAATGGACATCAATTTGAACAATTCAATGAATAAATCACTGAGTAATTTCGAAATTCAATTGTTTCAGTAAATATTCAATCAGGTGCTTATTCTACATTATAAACTTTTTATTACTATATATTTGTGGATATCAGGTATCTAAGTCTTGTGTTTTGCAAGTTAATTAGTGTTGAAATTGTTTTTTCGCCCTTCATGGAACAATCTTTATATGAAAATCCCTCGAAAAGCCCATAGCCCACTATTAAAATTCAATGTTTTAGTGATTTTTGAACATTTTTGAAAATGTTATATTCATACATCATATATCATTTCGAGCGGAAAAAAATAAGGAATTCAATGAGCTTATAAAATACAGGGTGTTCAATTTAAAAAATCATAAGTTTGAGTCGTTTCTTCAAAACCATACCCCGAAAAAAAAATTGTGTGCGCCACTGGATTCTGCATAAAATTCTCTATGGGTTAAGATTTTGATTTGACATTTTCGCTGATGAACTTCGTAGATATAGAGGGGGTCCAAAAAATATAAATTTTCAAAATCGCCCTGTATCTCATAAACGGAAACAGTCCTGCAAAATCTGATTGGGCCATCTTGGGTTTCACAAAAAAGTGGCACAGGACCGCGAAAACCGCAAGGTTCTATCTCCAAAGATAACTGAGACAACATGCAAAAGCATCGAAAACTGGACACACTGTACTACAAAGAGGAAAATACCAAATGCAAGAAAAAAGACGTATTCTCAGTGATGTCCTAGGAAATGTATTCAAACAATCCTTCCCTTTCAGCCGGTTTCAGTCACAGGAACCAACCGACCTCGATCGACCTCAACACGGTGAGGTTATGTTTCCAAGTGTTCCTCGAAGGGGACACGCCGAGGAAGTTCTCGGTGCCTCTGACTCCCGTAGTCAGCGAGCCCATTTACGACAAGAAGGCCATGTCTGATCTGAGCATCACCAAGTTGTCGGACTGCGTCAGTTACGTGGACGGAGGCAGGAAAGACATGATCCTCCTTTGTGAAAAAGTAAGTTGATTCTCCAGAAAAAAACAATGAGCCTGTCCAGTCATTTCTAGAAAAAATATATTTCGAAATATGTGGCTCTGGAATAGTATAAAATGATTTTTTTCTACCAGCGTGCGCAAAGTAGTACTTTTCGCACTCATTTGCGTGCGCAAAGTAATACCGCACTCAGTGCGGATATGGGTATTATCCGCACGGCGTGCCAAACCAAAGATAAATCGCTAGCTTTAGTTTATCGACTTCAGGTAGCCAAAGAGGACATCCAGGTCCGCTTCTTCGAAGACCCCGGCGACTGGGAGGCCTACGCCGACTTCCAGCCCTCCCAGGTGCACAAGCAGCACGCCATTTGGTTCCGCACCCCCCGCTACAAGACCCTCGACGTCACCGAACCCGTCAAGGTCTTCATCCAACTCAAACGACCCTCTGATGGCGCCGTCAGCGAACCTCTGCCTTTCGAGCTGTGGCCCCTCGACTCAGGTAGGCCCCCCTATTGGTCCTTCAAGCGCAAAAAGAGCAACTACAGCCTCTTCAACGACATACTCGCCAGAGACGCCAAAAGGCAACTCGCCACCTTATCAGAAACTAACAACAACCAGCACATAGAACCCGACTACTCGGAAATTAAGAAAGCGAAAGTTGTTGAAGAGAAATCCTTCAACGAGCTCATTAACCAAGTCGCTGAGCTAGACGAGATTTACACGGAGACTCAGGCTAGGCTGCTAAACGAACTCGAAACCCCGTCAGCGAAAACCTTCAGTGAACAGTTCGACGATGCCAAAACGTACTCTAGCTTGCAGCTGGCGTTCAAAAACCCCTTAGAAATCGATCTAACTGCAGCAGAACCCGACCCAGCTGCGACCAAGCGTGAAATAGAATCAGAAAAACCGCCTCTACCCCCAAAACGCACCAAGAAAATAGAAACCTACATCGGTGGCTCCATACCCAGCTTAGCTCCCTCCAACTCCACTTTAGTCAGCCGAACCAACTCTTTCACCATACAACGTCCCAAATCCCAAACAGAGCTCACCTCCCCAGCCAAACAACTACCCCCTACTCCGAACTACTCCACATTACCCAACCCCAAGAAAAAAGGCTTCTTCTCCAAGCTATTCAGCCGCCATAAACCCACTTCAAGAGAATCAAGCGTCACCCCTTCCACCAAATCTCTCCTTCAAATCAACGAACCCCTCACAAAAAGCTCTGGTAATTTATCCACCCACTCGGCCAATAGCGTTCGTATCCCCTTGAAAGACAGTCCGCCGAGCTCTCCCAGCTTGACGGTTGCCGTCCAGCCTTTGACAGATGACGTGGACATGACGTTGGATTTGACAGAGGCGGAGCACTACGCTCTGTATACGGCGATAGCGCCTCACGCTACGCAGAGCGAGTTTGATGATATGTCGTGCTATTACGCCCCCGTAGAAGGGGGTAAGATGTTGACTCATGCTGAGGTCGTGGCTCGGTTGGCTTCGAAGACTTGATCGGTCGTTTTTTCCTTTACCATGTAGGCCAATTTCAGTTCTACTTTCTCGAAGGCGAGGCACTTTTTTAAGGGGATGTAGAACTCATAAAAATAGACAGAAGCCCACATGTCCTTCTGTTTGTTCCTTTAAACACCCTGTGTCACGGCGCCGTTGCTCCAAATCAACGAAATACTGCTGCACTGTGGCGACACTCGCCATAAATCAGAAGCTTGCAAACAAGTTCATTATTTTACATTGTTTGACAATGCACAGTAAAAACAATTGAGAAAGTCGGGTAGTCATCAAGCAGTTTCTTGCGGACAGGACCGTAATGAAAATTTTTTGATAATATATCCGTTATGCAACTTTCATTGAGGCGATATTTAGCGTACTGTGAGAAGAGTTCTAAGTTTACATAAAAAAATATGTGCATACAAAATGAAGATAATTAATATATCTCCTCGTTAAAAGATTGTAGAACTATTACCACCCTTAAGAATGTTCTGAAAAAAATGTCAGGGGGTGATGAGAGTTTCAAAGCTTCTACAATTTCTTTTGGGTTTCTTTGATTACTGAATGGAGAATAATCCTCTACAATGCACTTTTGTCAAATTTGATTAAATTTGTTCCACACATTTCTGAACAGTGAACAAAAATGTATCTTTTCATGTAAACTTTCGACTCTCCTCACGGACAAACGGTACATTTTGATATATAAATAAATTGGGTCTAATCGAGTTATTTTGACCTCTATTACACGTGGTAACTCCGTGTACCAGCAATTTTGGGACACCCTGTATATTTCAATGAATACTACATCATCCTAAAAAAATGCCTCACCTTTAATATCACCCTGATGTATACAGCGTGTCTCACTTTATCAGTCTCTGTACTATTTTCTTGGTTATTGGTCGACCGATTTTGACCAAATTCAAAATGATATTGAAAAGGATCATTATGATTTTTTTTAGAAACAAATAGTATCTTGGCAAGTACTGTTCATTTTTATTTGTTCGAAATGGAATCGATTTCTCGCAAAATCATATTTTTTTAGAAAAACTATCATGGTATTGTTCAATATGCTTCCATATAATATGCAAAATTTCAACTCATTCCAAATCACCTGGATCGTTCAAATTGTTTCATTCATTTTTCTTTGAAAAATAATGAATTTCGTTAGCATATGGCAGTTTGAAATATCTACATGTTAATTGTTTTTGTTTATACTCTCAAGTGAAAATTTGCATATAAGGAATCTAGAAGCATGACGAACAATACAGTGAAGTTGGTATTTCATCTCTAGATAAATTACCATATGACTGAAAACATCATCTACAAACATTCTAGGAAATTGGTTCAAATTATTTTGTCAATCATAGAGAAATCAATCCATTTTGATCTTCATATTTGATTAAAATTGAACATCTTATACTTGATTTCATTTTTTCAATGTTTCATCCATTTTTTTATTTTCAATGTATTTGAATTTTTAGACCCAGGTGCAAATAAGAGAAAGAGACAAAAAATGGAGAATCCTGAACAGATAATTAGGAACTTGCAAGGACCTAATAGTAAGTTTTCCATTTTTGTCTCACTTATCTTGGTGGTGGGAACTCATATTTCTTTCATATTTTCATTTGCATACAGGTAGAGATACAAATCATCTCTGGATATTTCATATCAAAGAGAAATAATACCATCTGAACTGAAAAACTGTGACATAATTAGAGGCATGCCATTTTATTTATATTATAATAACTTTTTGTATTTTCGTTATTCTTGGATAGCATAGAGAATGGCCACTCTTTGGAACACATCCAAAAACATATTGCTTCTATCATTTTCAATGAATTTTTATATTCATCTGTTGTTGTCTACCATATCAATGAATTTTTTCAAACAATGATCTTCGAGGAAGATATTTTGTTATTGTTTGTGATTGTTGTTGTTTTGTTTATTTATCTGTTTTTGTATACGATGAAAACTATGTTTCGTTTTTATAGTGTCTAGGACCTAGTCAAATATATTTGTACGATTTTTGTTGCTTTTCCATGTGTTTTCCATCCATGGAAGGATATAGAATTGTCTGTTGACGAATTTTATAGTGTGTTGAATTTTTCGGAGAGTTTTTACTAGAAATGTTAGGTTTGTGGAGCTTTATACCTTTGTATCTGCTTTTATATTTACAAAAATATACGAATTTTTTATCCAGGTGTAGTCTTTTCATCAGAAGTAAATTGAATAAATAATGAAAAGTTTCAGCCATTCATAGAAAATCAGAGAAATAAAAAGGTACAGTGTAGAGTTTTGTGTGTGTTTTTAGATTTTGCATGGCTATATTTTATTTTATATTTAATAGTGTTATTCAATTAGTTTCTATTACTTCTTAGACATTGTGTTCCTATTTTTTGTGATGTTTGCAAAGACAGATAAAGAAACAATTTGAAATGTTCATAACGAGTTAAACTTTGCTTAGATAATAGACTGTTTTGTATAAATGATATTAGCTATTTGATAGCACATGAATTTTGAATTGCTTTTAATGCATGTTTGAGTGTATGAAAGTACGTTTGTATTGTCTCTACTGTATGTGCTACTAACATTCATTTTCATTTATTTCATAATCCTTATCTTTTAATAGATTCTCTATACTTTGCATGTTTCTTTAATTTTTTTTTATAAAAGTTGCAGGACCTTCACAATTCGTAGGGGCAAGTTTTACCATAAACCAGATCAAATCGGAACCAAGAGGTGAGTGGAAAAAAATTTTTTGTCTTGTGAAAAAGTTGTGAAAATGTAATTGTGAAGGTATATTGAATGAGAAGAGAAAGTTGAAAAAAATATATTTATTGAAAGGAAATCAGCTATCGAAAAAATTAAATCTCTATACAGGGTGTTTCATTGGGAAAATTTCAAAAAACCCATGGTTAATGGGTCTTCGACTTCTTATAACCGAGATACAGGATGTTTCATCAATTTTGTCCATATCTTCATTGTCTCATAACTTCCCAACCAACCGGTATATATTTTCTAAAATTGGTACACTTGCTCAATCTACCCTGTGGTATTGATTGAGACGACAACAAAAGATAAAATCCAGGTCCGGCTTTACTTGAAATTCACAGATTCTTTCTGCCAGAAAACAACACCCTATACATTCGAATTTCTCATTTGTTTGCCATATCTAGAATGAACATCAGAAGTTCTATTCAACGATGTGCTTTTTATTCGTGCACAGACGATTTTAACTGTTCATATTATGTGCTCAAAATATTATTTTTGCTCATTTTGGGGTACAAAATTGGAATCAGACGAGATTTATTAATCTTATTACTTCGTATTCAGTATATACGTGAGTATTACATTTAGAAGGAGTATTTCATATCGTTCTTCCAGACTTAATTGCAGGTCCGTCATCAAAACTATAAAGGGCTTTTCACGATGAGCTACTGCTACTGCTACTTTCGAGTAGAAGCGGCAACGCCGGATTGTTTCAAATATTTCAGACGTGTAGATCATGTTAATTTATACATACCTTCGAATTTTTAGATTTATCTGTTGCCTGGTTTGCCAGAAACATCTAATTAACGCTTATCGTGAAAAGCCCTGTATAGTTTTGATGACGGACCTGCAATTAAGTCTGAAACAAAGAACAATATGAAATACTCCTTCTAATTGAAATACTCACGTATACTGAATAGGAAGTAATAAAATTAATAAATCTCGTCTGATTCCAATTTTGTACCCCAAAATGAGCAAAAATAATATTTTGAGCACATAATATGAATAGTTAAAATCGTCTGTGCACGAATAAAAAGCACGTTGAATAGAAATTTTGATGTTTCTTTCAGAAAAAAAATGAGAAATTCGAATGTATAGGGTGTTGTTTTCTGGCAGAAAGAATTTGTGAATTTTAAGTGAAGCCGGACCTGGATTTTATCTTTTGTTGTGGCCTCAATCAATTCCACAGGGTAGATTGAGCAAGTGTACCAATTTTTGAAAAGATATAGAGGTTGGTTGGAAAGTTATGAGACAATGAAGATATATAAGAAATAAGAAGTCGAAGACCCATCAACCATGGGATTTTTGAAATCACCTCAGTGACCCCTATCCACAGTTGAATTATTTACCTTTCCCAATGAAACACCCTGTATAAATAGAATACTAGTTGAAAGCAGGGTTGGAGTCATGAGTTTTATAAAAAAGTCAAAAAAGTCTGACTTTTTGAATTAATTCGGACTTTTTTGAATTAATTCATTTGAGAACAAATCAAATTCTATTTACTTGAACAAAATACAAGAACATCGCAAAAACTAAGTTTATATTTCCTTTAAAAATCTCAAAGCGTGACAATAAAATACTTAAAATATGCAATTTTTGCAATATAAACTGAGACTATTGATTGAATGAAAAATGATGTTTATGCAATTATATTACTCATTCACAATCTTCATTATAGAGGCGCTTTACAGTTATTTTCAATAAAATGCAGCAATATCCATGGCAGCCTACGGATTGGTGTCACCTTGGAAAGCAATTTTTCGATGCATTGCAAGAAATGAGTCCGGACATATTTATTTATATTGTGATAATTTGTATTACTGGTGCAATTCTAATGGTGACATGTTAGATTTTCGGAATTTCACGCATTATTAGATACACATTGGATCTTACTTTTCTTGCCTTTCTCATGGTTTCATCTACCCAACTCTTGACCCAACTCAAAACTCGGTGAGAAGTAATACACAGAATCTATGACAAACAGACATTGCAATGCAAGCCGGTAATTCCGATTCAATGTTGTAAAGCCTACATATTATTCTTGCCGGAAATATGAATTGGAGCAATCAATTGCATGCAATGAAATATTGTAAACTGTAAAGCGGGTCTTAGAAAATTTTGTTTTCCGCGTGTGGTGCTTCACGGTTGTCAGTTGTCAGATGCCATCGGATATTTCATTTTAAACTAAATTAGTTTAAATTGAAGGTAATGATGCGATTTGTTACCATTTGATAAATTTTGAATTAATTCACGACTTATTTGAAAAAAGTCATTTGAATTAATTCACGAATTAAATCACTGACTTAATTCATATGAATTAATTCGTGCCAACCCTGGTTGAAAGTGATCATAAAATCATCAATTGCTCTGTTATAAACAATAAAATCGCAGAATGGCCAATTGAAATGTTTCAAAATTATTACAGAAAAAAAACTGTTTGCACAAAGTAGTAATATATGTGTGTACAGTACTGCCCAAATTTTTCTAAGCAGAAATAAAAATATAATAATAATCATGACAATAATGATAATAATGATAATAATAATAATAATAAAGTTTATTCAAAATATTTAGATATAGATTAAATTGAATAAACGAAGAAAATCTTATGAAGAGATACACCTGACTATCTCGTACCACAAAAACAAATACGTGATTGAAACACCGGGTGGTTGGAATAGATATTAGTCAAGGTGCATAAACCGAAAAATGATTTTCACAGATATCGTTACGAATTATTTGGACATCACTGTACTTACACCTATGCTCGAATCGAGGTTGAACATTTTAATTTTTTTCAGGTTCCCCTTCTCCTTATGGAGGTTCTGTCAGTTCATATGGGGGCGTCAGTCCAATGTACAACATTGCAGCATCCCCCCAAAGTCAGGTAAACAATTTTCCTCAAATAAAGTGTGAGTTCGGAAATTGGGGTGGTTCCATGGCTGTTGGCGAGCAGTGTATATCACTGAAGATGACCCCCACTTGGTCATAGAGTGCATTTTTGGTATATTTCTCGCTCCAGCGAATTTCAGGATCCTTATCCAACGATTACATAAGATACAGGGGTGTTTCCATTAGAAGTGGGTCACACTGTATAGTTGAATAGAGAATTTTAAGGCAGATAAGATAGGCTACAAAAATAAACAGGGTGCCATTTGAAAAAAAAAGTTGGGTCTAGTTTTAATCAAACAGGTGGTTGAAGAAAATTGTCATTGGGTTCAAGGGACGCGCCATCATTGATAATATAACCCTTGTGAATTTCAAATTTGTATCTCTTCAAATGAAGAAACTACAGGCTGTTTCATGTCTCCTGTGTCACCCGGTATATTGCTTGGTTTGCCAGAAACTACTAATTAATGCTCATCTCGAAAAACCCTGATATCGGGTCGATTCTGTTTGCAAATAGCAATATGGTTGTAGAGAAGATATTGCTATCATAGCAAGATTCGAAAAAGTGGCAAATGGCAATATGATCTGTCAATTTCAATGACATCTGGTCAGCTTTTTTGCTATCTCGGCAACATCAATTTCGTGCTTGCTATCTTATAACAAGGTAGTGGATTCTTTGTTTTTGCACTACAAATTCTTCCAACTGTATGAAAATTCAGAAAATAGTGGATTAAAAACATATGAGAGTTCAGTTGTGTCACTGACAACTCGAAAACCTTTCCTCAAAGTTTCAATTCGTAGAAGAATTATTGAAAAACTTGGTGATTACAAACATATAGGATAGGTTCACTGCTGTGTACTGTGACCAACTACTTGAAAACCTCTTCTTGAAGTTCCAATTTGTAGAGGAAATATGAGACTACAATTTCGGCATATCAGAGAAATTTCAGTTGCCTGATGGATAGTTTATCGAGCTATTTTGCTAGAATTTTGAAAAAAAATCACAATTTGTTTCATCCGGATTTTAGATGTTTTTTCATTTCGGGAACATGATTGATTACTTGCACCAGTCGCACAACGACGACCAGATTAAGCAAATACAAAATCTCTCGATTTGAACGATATAATTTTGTGAAATGTCAGTGCAGGTCGCAGGACTGCTAATTTGAGAGGTTGAACTCTTCTTCTTCATGAAATAATGGCAAAATCGATCCCTAACACTTGAACAATTAGTTGAAAACAGTGTTGTCACCTCAAAAATTCTCAATTTTTCAACAATATTGCTATCACTTGAACTTATAACCAGTCTTGCAGTTAATCTGCAAACAGAATACAGAACTTCATAGCAATATTGTTATATGTTATGATCATAACAATATTATTATCTTAGCAATGTTATAATAAGATCCGAACAGAATCGGCCCGAATATGCCGTTGGATTTTTTTTTCAAGAATTTTCATATTATTTTTCAGACGATGTGGGAGAGCCCCTCCCCGGTGATGATGGGAGCCCCGGGCGCCACTGGCCAGCCCAACCAGCAGTTCTGGCTGAACATCCCCGTCGTACCCCCCACCGTCAACCTCCCTGCCGTCCCCCCCGTTGCCCCCGCCACCGATCTCATGGAACAATCGAACAACGAGATTTTCAATCTGGACAGCGGCGAAATCGAAAAGTTCGTGCACAGGGCCTATGACTTGCAGGTTTGTTCAATTTTTTTTTTTTCAATATCCACTCGTTTGTTTGTCTGCTTGTCTGTGTACCGATTCTTGCAATACAGGGTATGTCAGGACGAGCTCACACTATCTCTATATCGAGAATCAGTCGGGAGAAATCCATAAAAATATTCATGCTTATATTTTAGAATACGCTCTCTTCATTTTACATATTTCCAGCAATGCAGTGTTGCCGCTTCTACTAGAAAGTAGTAGCAATATTGATATTTCAAATTGAACACCCTGTATTTTATCGCATTTGTAGATTCTACCTGAAGAGCTGATTTCATCGATATGTCACACTTGGGGGTCTATCGAAAAAGATTACCGAGATTTCTCAACTTTAAGATTTTTTGTGTCGAAACTATCCATTATCGGTCACCCTGTATCTGTTCCGATTAGATATCAATGAATAGTTAATCAAAAGTTGAGATAGGGACATGTGAGCCGTTTTGGCCGATAATAAATAGTTTCAACACAAACAAATCCTAAAGTTGAAAAATCTCGATTTTGAACATCTTATATATATATCTGTAATCAATTCCGATAGACCCCAAGTGTGATGTATCGATGAAATCAGCTCTTCAGGGAGGATCTAAAAATGCAATAGAATACAGGGTATTCTATTTGTAACAACAAAGTTCTTTTGATAGAAGCGGCAACACTGCATTGCTGAAAATATTTTAAATGAAGAGAGCGTATTCTAATGATAAATGATGAATATAAGCATGCATACTTTCATGGATTTCTCCCGACTGATTCCGATATAGAGATAGTGTGAGCTCGTCGTGACATACCCTGTATATTCTTTCAAACTTCGTACACATTCAATATAACTCACCGAAAAAAAAACGCCCAGCAACAAAGTTTGCGTAATTGATCACAATGTAACTTTTTTAATCATTGTCCGATTTTGGTGAAATTTCGACCAAATCGGCAAATCGTTGATTTATGTTTCGAAATGATAACTTGAATTGAATAATAATTAACAAAACATTGATAATCTATATTCAAAGCTAATAAAATCAGCGCTCAAACCTCCATTCTCATATCAAATGATTCTATGAGACTTAAATCATGACAAAATAATAATGTTAAGTTTTATTGAAAAAAATCAGATTACTATGAGAATTCAGTATGGAAATTAAAGTAAATATATCCTCTACCTGATCTGGTGGAATTGGCACCGCAAGGTGTCAGAAAACCATTAAAGTTAACAGAAGAAGAAGAAGAAGAAGAAGAAGAACTTGAATTCTAGTTCCCATAAAAGATGATGGATTGGTCATTATACAGGGAAAAACAAAAGCTACTATCTCACGCTTTACTTCTCAACGCCCTGTGTCCGAAGTGAGTGAATAAACTTAGCTTCATTAGGTTTTGGATTGAAATGTGATCCCTCTTTAACACAAATGGATTTTTTGAATTTGCAGAACATACAGGAACTTATCGATTGATATCTCGTAAAAATATCTAGAAGTGGATATCAATTATTTCCACCTCGTTCTTTCAGCGCTCACCAATAAACAGAAACTTCAATTACTGAAAACAAATGAAAAGCAGACCTTCTAGATGAAGTCAATGATGACTATGTTCTCCTTGAGCATTCAAACGCCGTGGTATCGAGTTAATCAAATTTCTCACGCAGTCTTGAGGAATTGTCTCGAGTAAGCCTCTGGAGTTCATCCCAAAGATGTTCAATACTCCTCAATAGGTTCTGAATTATTGTTGACAAAAATCAAAAACTTCCATGAAACACTTCTATCTTCTCTTGAAAAGAAAATTTTGACGTGAATCAAGAACCATTATGATGACAAGGAACGAAAAGAGATCCCCAGAAGATTGAAGAATGGTTCTGAATTATGATTAGTAAAAACTAAAAAATGCCATACTTTCCTAAAACACCTGTATCTTCCCTTCAAAGGAAGATAAAAACGTGAACCAAAAACCATATCGTACTTCAATCCGAAACATAATAGAGCTAAGTTTAAACTCTCATCTCTGCCACAGAAGTTAAGGGTGGAGGAGTGAATTGAGATGCAGACTTACACTCCGAAACATACCATCGGACAAGAATGGGGTTGCACAGACTAGTCAAATTGACGCCACAAACCCATTTCATATTGATCATTTCGTGTATAAATATTATTTGATGCAATCATTCTTTACTTAAAATTATCGCAAATATATGTTTATCAATAATGAAATTCGCCAGCTTCGATGACGTCATCGTTATGTGAATTATGGTTTTTGCATCAAAAGTAGGACCACATATTTCGACGCTGCCAGATTTGTAACTGGTAATTACTTTATGAGATTCAATATGACCGATGAAACAGTATTTACATTCACAGAAGACAATGGTTCGACCTTTTTTTTATATGTTCTGGTTCCCACGAGAAGGGATATCCTGTAATGTTCAGAGAACATCGTGAGATTCAAGGGAAATAAGGTAGGAATTGGTGCCTCGGGGAACACCACCCTTGGCAATGTGTTCCAGAGCCTAATAATAATCACTTATTGCATACTTATAACTTTGCCAGATGCTTCAATACCTATAGAAATATCCTAGTATTCCTAGTGATGATCGATATTTTAACTTAACCCAAATTATGTTGTGGCCTTGGCAACAGCGTAATGCCCAGAGTTCCCAGAAATACATGAAGAGAAGAAAGAGACGAACTACATTGTCTACTTAACATCCGAACGACAATATCGTCTATTCACCTTCATCTTCAAATCCTTGTTTCATTTAGTCAAGATGCGAATATTCAAAGATATTCCTCTCATTATCTGATTCTTCAGTTGTGTGTTGCATTCTCTGTTATCTGTAGTAAGTATTCAGTCCAGAAAATTCAATAGAGTCCAGGGCGGGCACCTTCTGAGGAGACGAACTTAATTAATTCTTACATTGATTGAAATGAATTGCTCTTATCTTACACAAATGTCGAGTTTATTCGGTGATTCACGTCACGCATTTTCCTGTGTTCTTCATGTTACGAAATAACGTAGATTTCAATATTTATTTTGAAAATGTACAGAGCTCTGGGGAAAAAACGGTTCGCGTTAGGATAAGTACTTCGAAATAATGAAATAAAATTTTTACGGGGCGATCAATTTGGCTATTTTTTCTAGCTATAGCGGTGTAATGGTGCATAGTATGTTTTCAATTCAAAGCCAATCAAATATGTACCTTGATTTCAGGATATACAGGACCCTCTGCCGAATTTGGACAACATGTCGTTGTCCGACATGAACATAAACAGCGAAATGACGGATTCTTTGACCAATTTCACTAACAGAGCGGCGGAAGCATGCGGACTCATGGATGTGAACAAACTGAGCTGAACGCTTAGTGTGTGCTGTGAAAAAACTTTGAGTTGGTCGGTTTCTGGAACCTGCTCAATGCCCTAAAGTGACATGAAGATGATTTCTTGGTCAGTGTTTCAAGTATAGGGTCAGTTAAAACTGAGACTGAGAATGGACTAATACAGATATCGATGACTTTTGGTCGAATACTTATGGGACATCCTGTAGAGGGTGGATTTTGCCACTCAATATTTCAAATCAGCCGAAATAGTTTGTGCAAGTTCAACCGGATTTTCCCTTTATTGGCAGAATGCTATTTTTTTAAGAACAATGTGCCTCATTTCTACAAAATTTCATGATATTATTAGGTATCATATTAGGGAAATCTCTGATTACTAGATGCACCACTCCTCAATACGGACCTGTCCTGAATTTTTAAAGGATAACTACTATTCGGCAATAGAATCATTGTTTATGATGCAATTGATGAAAAATATTAAAATGATGAGTGGGCGCACTAAGAAAGGTCGAAAATATTAGTTTCACGTAATGCATAAACATCGATATAAGTACAGGGTGATTCACCATAAATGTCCCCCCCTCTAGCTCAGTTATTTTTGAACCGATTTCAAAATTTGAAATATCATCTTAAATGATTCTCGATAAAGTTTTTTCCGCTACATCAGAAAATACAGGGTGCTCGAAACAAACGATCTACAGGGTACTATTCGATTTTTTTAAATGGAACACCCTATTTTTCATTGTATCTTTAGATTCTCCTTGAAGAGCTGATTTGATCAAATCGAGAGTTTTCAACTTTAGGCTTTTTTTTGTGACGAAACTATTCATTATCGCTCAAAACGGCTCTCATGTCCGTATCTTAGCTGTAGATTTACTACATTTATTTATCTACTGACATTCAAAGATTAGAAGAGATAAAGGGTGATCAGAATTTTGAATCTTGAACCACCCTGTAAATGTTCCAATTTAATGTCAGTTGAGATGGGGACATAAAAGCCGTTTAGTTTCGACACAAAAAAATCCTAAAGTTGAAAAATATCATCGATTTTGAACACCCTATATCTCTGTAATCATTCCTGCTATACCCCAAGTGTGATGCATTGATGAAATCATCTCTTCAGGAAGGATCTAAAAATACAATAAAATACAGGGTGTTCCAATTCAAAAATCAAGTAGTACTCTGTAGATCGGTTGTTCCGAGCACCCTGTATTTTCTGATGCAACGAGAAAAAAATTTCTGAAAAATCAATTCAGATTATTTTTCAAATTTTCAAATCGGTTCAAAAATAAGTGAGCTAGAGGGGGGGACATTTATGATGAATCACCCTGTACATATCACAGGAAAAGTCAATAATAAATGTTAGTATATGGTCAACCATTGAACGAATTTATCTATCAATGTGTAGATGATGTTATGGATGATTTGGAGATCTCGATAAATCAATAAATATACAGGGTGTCCCATAAGTAATGAATCAAGTGGAGTGGTGGGTTGGTCATTTGCAATCAAACTAGTGGTGGTTATCAAATTGTTGATGGTTCAAAAGTAACTCATTTTTTCTGAAAAACACGACCCATTTGGGAACAATTAATGACAAAAAGGCTGTTCTTGAATAACCACTTATGTTATACCGTTTCTATGCAGATGAAATTTGTAAAAGAAAAAGTCACAAACGTGACATATACAGGGTGATTCAGGTTTTAAGGCACAACCTGAAATAGGAAATAGATCTCACCATTTTGATCAAAAAAGTTTATATAAACATAAGTCCGATCTCGTTAATTAGCGGAGCTACAACAGGGGGTCAAAGTTTAATTATTTTTTTCTATTAATTGAAATATCTCGCTTACTTTTCAAGATATCGTTTTGAAATTTGGTGTGGTCAATACTTTCTAGAAGATCATCATTTAAAGCCATTTAAAGATTTTTAAAATCTACAGGGAGATACGTTTTTGGGGGTAGAGGCTTCTTTATCCCCCCCAAACTTTTTCGTAGTACGCCTCTGGCATCTTTCAGTGATCAAATTGTGTGGTTCGTTCAATTTACAGGCTTTTTCGCTCTTCCATTTTTTTCGAGAAACAAACCGGTTTTGAGATAAATAAGCATATACGTTCTAAAACATGTTAATTTTGCCTATGTTTCGCTTACATTTTATTTTCGTTGAAAATGCAATGAAATGTACTCACTAAAATTGCAATCACGAGTCCAATCTGGATCAGTATTGGGGATACAGATGGTAAAAAGTCAAGGTTTTTTTTCAGTTGAATAAAATTCAAGTGAAACAGGCAAAATTAACATGTTTTAGAACGTATATGCTTATTTATCTCAAAAACGGTTCGTTTCGCGAGAGGCGTATTACGGAAAAGTTTGGGGGGAATAAGGAAGCGTCTACCCCCATAAACGTATCACCCTGTAGATTTTGGAAATCTTTAGATGGCTTGAAATGATCATCTTCTAGGAAGTATTGACCACACCGAATTTCAAAACGATATCTTGACAAGTAAGCGAGATATTTCGACTAATAGAAGAAAATAATTCAGCTTTGACACCCTGTAGCTCCGCTATTGAACGAGATCGGACTAATGTTTATATAAACTTTTTTGATTAAAATGATGAGATCTATATTCCATTTCAGTTTGTGCCTTAAAACCTGAATCACCCTGTATAGTTTGATTCTCGAATGTATTAAATTGTAATTAATTTTTTTTACAGAATAAGAATTAAAGAAACTTAATTACTTTTGAACCATCAACAATTGAATAACCACATACATGGTTAGTTTGATTGGATATATGACCCCTTCTACCACCCCACTTTTTTTGATCCGTGACTTATATGGGACACCCTGTATATTGTGTATGATTGTATGAACTGATATTATTATCAGTGTACGAATAATTAGTATACCTACATTGTTGTAAATAAATTATCTGCCACCCCTGTAACCTAAGTTCTACTTTTAAGATTTTTGTAAAGTTGTTAAAAACTTGTTTTTTTATATTGAACAAATTTTAAAGCTATTCTGTGATTAGCCTATAGGTATCAACCTATTTAATATAAGACATCTACAATATGTGCAATAAGGATACATTTATGTTGATGAATTATACAGGGTGTTAGTGAATAAGTTCGACAAACTTCAGGGGGTGATTCCTTGTGATAGTTCAGAAAATAAAGTTTAAATTAACAACGTTTTAGAGATACAGGGTATATATCTCGGTATTAATATTTCCATGAAAAATCTTTTTTTTAATCATTACTTGAATGTCTTTTTACCAATTTCAATGAAACTTGGTGGTTTCGTTGAATGTGACATGGAGCTCCTGTTGATGTGATTATATTCAAAATAATATTTTCAGTGGCGTCACAGTGGGTTAATTTATCGATTTACGTATAAAATCATTGTACGCCACTGTTTTTTCTGATTTTCATATTTTTATTAGAATGAACAATTGAAATATCAACTTTCTCATCCTCTGTGTTTTTTTTAATCTTGCTTAGTATTTGAGGAAACAATAAAAATTCGATTTGACTCAAAATTTTAATGTAGGTGCTCTGGAAACATTCATTGAGATTACTCAATAACCTCAATAAAAATCACTTTGAAATTTTGGGACTTTTTCAGTCTCCAACCATACTGAATTTTGGCACCATGAAAGCTTTATACAGAGGCTTTATAAATAAAAACAACTAATACTTCCAACTTCAACATCCTGTATATCAAAAACGAAACAAGTTAGGACACATGTTTATATGAACTTTATTTCCTAAAATATCACAAGGAAACACCCCGTCAAGTTTGTCGCAGTTCTTCACTAACACCCTGTACAGGGTATCCCAATTTGGGCACTTTTGCGGGGTATCTCCCTTATCAGTAAAGATAGAGCATTGCGGTTTTCGCGACAGTGTGCTACTTTTTTATGAAATTAATAATGGCGCAAGCAGAATTGTGATAGCTCTTCCGGTTGTCGAGATACAGGGTGGAATTGAAAAATATCACTTTTCAGGCACCCTCCGTGTCTCAGTTATCTTTGAACTTATCGAAGAAGTTAAAACTTGTTTTTATAGAGTTTTTCTCGTAGAATCCAGTGGCGTAGTTATTTTTTTGCTAGCACCTTTTGTTTTTTAGTTATGGAGCAAACATATGTTTTTTAAATGGAACACTCTGTATTATTATTTTATATATACATTGAGCATGAAGTGGGCTTTCCAAAAATATATAATTGTATACAATTATTTTCCATTTAAAAAAACATATGTTTGCTCCATAACTAAAAAACAAAAGGTTCTAGCAAAAAAATAACTACGCCACTGGATTCTACGAGAAAAACTCTATAAAAACAAGTTTTAACTTCTCCGATAAGTTCAAAGATAACTGAGACACGGAGGGTGCCTGAAAAGTGATATTTTTCAATTCCACCCTGTATCTCGACAACCGGAAGAGCTATCACAATTCTGCTTGCGCCATTATTAATTTCATAAAAAAGTAGCACACTGTCGCGAAAACCGCAATGCTCTATCTTTACTGATAAGGGAGATACCCCGCAAAAGTGCCCTGTACTATAAAGTGTGGTCTAGTCTTAGGAAACACTGGACTACCCTGCAGTGGCGTAGCTATTGTAGGGCAGTTAGATGCGGTGCACTGGGACCCCGCAGGGGCTCAGTCATAACCGGATTGTGTTTTGTTCTTATTTTATGAATATTTTCAATAATATACACTCACCGGAAAAAAAACCGGCCACCAAAAATGTTGCCCAAATTGTTCACCCTGTAACTTTTTTAATCCTTGTCAGATTTTTGTGAAATTTCGATCGAATCGTTGATTCATGTTCCGGAATGTTAGTCTAAATATTAGTTTCATTGAAAAACTGATGACTTGATCATTATACAGGGAAATACCAAAGTTACTATTTCACCCTTTACTTCTTAACGCCATGTGGCAAAATTGAGTTATTGAACTTGGCTTCATTATGCTCTGGATTGAAGTTTGATCCCTTCCTAACACAATGGTTTCTGATTCACCTCAATAACTCGTTTTTAAGAGAATATACGAGTGTTTTAAGAAATCATGGCATTTTTCAATTATTTTTAACAATAATCAGATCCTACATCAACTTATTGATTAAAAACTTCAGGAATCAATATTACTAATTTCTATCTCATTTTTATAGCACTCAACTAAAAAAACCTTTTATACAAAAAACAAACAAAAAGCATACCTGTAGTCAATAAGCAGTATGCCCTCCTCGAGTTTGAATTACAGCATTTAACCGCCCTGTCATGGAGTTGATCAAATTTCTCAAGTGGACTTGGAGAATAACTAAAATTCTTCAATTGTAGCTCTTGAAGAGTCTCTGACAAGGCCGGACGAATGCGAATGAGCCTCTGAAGTTCATCCCTAAGATACTCTAGAGGTTTTGAATTATTATTGTTGACAAAAATTAAAAAATTCCATACTTTCTTCGAACACTTGTATATTCTCTTTAAAAGGAGATATTGACGTGAATCTTGAACCAATATGCTGAGAAGGGACGAAAAAGGATCACACTTCAATACTAAACATAATGAAGCCAAGTTTAACCCTCGGTTTAACCACTCACTTTTTCCACCGGGCAATAGGAAGTTAAGGGTAAAAGAGTAACTTTTGTTTGTCCCTGTATAATGATCAAACCATCAGCTTTCCTAATATTCAAGAAAATATTCCGAAACATGAATATACGGTTTGGTCGAAATTTCACCAAAATCGGACAAGAATTAAAAAAGTTACAGGGCGAAATTTTATGGTAGCCGGTTTTTTTTTTGCCGGTGAGTGTATATTCCCTACTTACTCTAGGGTTGGAAAATTTTCTCAGTGAATTAGGGCCCCATCAACCCTCGTTGCACCGGGGCCCCGACACCTCTCGCTACGCCACTGCTACCCTGTCTATTAGAATTACGACGTGGCCCACCATGAACTTCTAACCATAGATCTAAATACACACTTCAAAGCCAAGTTTGCTTCATTTGTTCATATTAAAACATAAATGTTAGTGATGTTTTCGATAATGGGTGAAGAATATAGGTTTTATGAGGATATATTCCTGATGATTCTTTCTTCCGCCAAAAGAAACACAGGTAAATTGAGTGGATAATTTTCTTTGGGCCACCTTGTATCACTGTATATACATATTTATCTATTATTTGTACAGAGCTACAGAATAAACAAATAGATATTTTGTAATAAGTATGTTATAAATATATATCTGATTTTTTGAAAATGAAATTTGTGAATTTCAGTTTACTTTGTGATTACAGCATCACACTGTATACCAATGTACATACATTTGCATTCATTATCTGGAGTTTGAAAAAATATTGTGGACTTGCTGTGAATGGAATTTGAATTTTTGATGTCATTTTTTTTTCTATAACCTGGAATGTTGGGTATTTCACAATATTATTAGTGCGGAGGCAGAGGCCGCAATATCGCTCGTTTTAAAGACGTACCCAAAATTTCGGTATAACTTAATGGGACCCATGGAGATCGATTTGTCATGTAATTTTACATAGGGAATGGAAATCTACAACACGCTACGTTGGTCGAGACAAAAGTTATATGGAAAAAACGAGAAATAATTGCAATTTTCAAATTTTGAAATATGATTGCTTTAACTTCTGATCTAATAGAGATATCTGAATGATTCTTCAACTGTTCGATAGGCCAATATATGTACTTCATAAAGGTCCATTCATTATTCCATAATGAAAAAGAAAAAAACACAAAAATTACATAATTCAGTTCACTTTCGGAAATTTCAATAAAATGTATTTTATTCATCTCGCCGAAAGTCATACATCATTAATCCAATTGGAATATTTTTTACATCAAAAACTGCGGAATTCTCTTGCGAAAATTTCATCCCGCATATATATAGATCTATTCTTGATAATAAATTAGCTGCAGTTATTTGAACGCAATGATGCACACCGTTTTCTTCGTCGTGGCAACCCCTCCGGCGTCCAGCGCGCCAATATAAAATATGCACTGTCATCGAGTAATTTCTGTAATTTGGGCAGTATTTGTTGTTCCTTTATTCGATACGGATGAGTTGTATCAATAACAATAAATTGGGAGTTCTTGAAATACTCACTGCAGATAGTTCTGATCGATTATTGACGTTTGAGTTTGTGTAATAGTGACATCTTGGTTATCTACTTTTAAAATTGGATTTTTTCTCATACATCTTCGACTGGTGTGGTGGAAATTTTTTCATCGTAAGTAACGGCTGATTTTTGCAATGTCTGATTGTTAATTCTCTGATTCATTCGTTAGATATAGATATGGAAAGAATCAAAGAGTGTCTGTTCTGTTCCGAGTCGATGTGTAATATACCAAATAATGAAATAGTTTTGAAACCGACTTTGCAAGGATTTGCGACTATATTTTCCGCTGCAGAGAAGAGAAAATATGATGAAGTATCTAGAAAAATCTTGTCTTTGAAAGATAAAATCAATGAAAATCCTGGACATTTTCAGTTTCACAGAATTTGCCGACAATCTTTCATCAGCAAAACAAATATAACTTCAGCAGTCAAAAAAATATCCGATGAGGAACCAACTAATAGAATATCCAAGGTTTCGTTCAATATTTCTAAAGACTGCATGATTTGCGGTAAATGTGGTACAATTAAGAAAAAAGGCTTGGTTCAGGTGTGCACTGGAACTGGAAAAAGAACCCGGGAAAAAATTTTGAATGCAGCTTCACAACGTAATGATTCAGTAATGATTGGAAGAATGGAATTCTATCCTGACCTATTCGCTTCCGATGCAAAATACCATCGATCTTGTTATTCAAAATATTTAAGTGGAAGGAATATCAAAAGTAGCACTACTAGGAAATCTGATAAATCATGTCAAAGTGATTCGCAAAATATAAGCGAAGCGCTGACAATTTTGTACGCAGAAATTGAAGATACTATCATAGAAAAGCGAAAAGTGATATCAATGGGAAATCTTCGAAATAAATTTCTCAATATAATTGAGGATAAAAACATTAGGATAGATATCACTGTGAATCAAGTATTTTTACGAAATAATTTAGAGAAGTATTTCGGAGAAAGATTATCATTTGCAAGTAGATCTGGCAAGCCTACTATTGTCTTCTCGCCAGATATCATACATGATCTTTATCACCAACAAAATGATTATTCTAGTTCTGAAGAAGAAAGAAATGTGATTCCAGAGAGTGACAAAACCATCTTACATAAAGCTGCAGGTATTTTGAGGCAAAATATAATTGATCATACAAGTTCTGAAAAGGTAGCGAAATACATCAGTCCTCAAGCATTGACTGAAACAGCTTGTAGAGCGGAAATACCTGATAAACTTTATATGTTCATTTGTTGGCTACTTCACCATGATAGTTTTATTGAGATTTCCCAGGAAAACTTCGATATTCATGTAGTGGCAATATGCTCCAGTATCCTTAATAATTTTGATAAAACGAATATTCTTACAAGCTTCGGAATGTGCTTATCAATTTTTGTTTACCAGTGTATTAGAAGTAAACAAATACTGAACATTTTATACAACCTTGGATACGGCATATCCTATGATGAAATGAGAAGATTCCTCACTTCATTGGCTAATGAACAGAGTCAATGCATAGATAAAGATAATATATTCGTTCCTCAAGGATTGATGCCTGTGAACACCGAAGGTGACAATTTGATACATGCCAGTATCGACAACTTCGATCAAAATGAGGAAACTTTGGATGGCAAGAATACTACACATTCTTTAGCAATAGTATTGTTTCAAAAAAAAGGTGAACTCTTCAATGATACAAGTTTTCAACGAAAAACTGAACGCTCCTTGAAACAACTTGATTGTGATACTTCAAATAAATTATTATATTATAATAAACCTTCCAAACGTCCTGAACCTCCTAGATATCAGGAAAATATGATACAATGTAGCTTACGTTCAGAATCGAAAGAGTCCAGACATGTAAACACTGATACATTGTGGAAATTATTAAGGTTCATGAAAAGTTCTAACACTTTTTTAACGTGGAATCAATTCAATGATATCATTTCTGAGAACAATTTACCGGTTTCGAATACGTTTTATTATCCTTTTATAAATGCTACACCTACATCATTTGATACCATCTTCACAGGCCTCACCCAACTCACAAGAATAGCTGAGAAAATGGGCCAGGATCATATAATAGTTACTGCTGATCTCGCCATATATAGCAAAGCGCAAGAAATTTTGTGGAACAACCCTCCGGAATTAGCTAACAAAATCACAATGCAACTAGGAGGAATGCATTTAACAATGGCATTCATCGCTAGCATTGGACATATTTTTGGAGATGGTGGTTTGATAAATATTCTGGTGGAATCTGGAGTGTATGCCGAAGGAACCTGCCGACAAATGCTTCAAGGTAAACAGTTGAATCGTGCTCTGAGAGGTATAACCCTAGTTTCAGATGTCTTAAGTCGACTGTTCTTCAAAGCCCTGAATGCTTGGATGATAGAAAAAAAAATGCCTTCTCTAGATGACTCCACAAGGGAGAGACTATTGAATTTAGAAACAATCATTAATATATCATCTCCACCAAGTGAAATTAAAACACTAGTAAATAGTTTCTTGAATGACTCGGATTGGCCAGGTGTAATGGAAGAGTTCATCGAATTCGGTTGTCAACAGTCAGCTACATTCAAATATTGGTGGTCTTTCATCGATGCTGCAAATATTCTACTGAAATTACAAAGGGCTGAAAGGAATGCTGACTTTTCATTACATCTTGAAGCGGTTAAAGAAACTCTAACGTATTTGAAAGCAGGTGGTCGGAATAATTACGCTAAATATACACCCATATATTTATTAGATATGGAAAATTTGAAAATAAAACATCCTCAGATATACCAGTTTCTTGAAGATGGAAATTTCGCTGTACGAAGAACTGATGGGAGGAATTTCAATGCTGTTGCTTCAGATATGGCTTTAGAGCAAACGGTTAACAAAGACTGTAAAAGTTCTGGAGGCGTTATTGGATTTACTCAAAGTGAACAGACTTTGAGTAGATGGCTGATCACTAGACATTTGATGGGAGAATATGCAAATAAAACCAAAGAACTCATAACTCATAAAATGAAATCATGCAGAAGTTATGGATCAACAGAAAGAATTAGGGAAGAAGAAGACGTCAAAAAAATGGAAACTCTAATCGAGGAAACTTGGATTAACCCTTTCGACCCATCACATTTTTCCACAGATCTAATTCATATTGCCACAGGAAAAATTGCCTCTGCAGAAGTGAGAAATTCGTTGTCTAATTTCAAGGAAAAGGCAAATTCGTCGAACGAAAAATTTGCGAAGGATAGATTGACATTCGATAATGTAGTGAGTTTTTGGCAACCCGTTCCTCGAGATAATTTGAAAGCATTTGGAAATGATACTGTGGGTTATAAAAAAACTGGGAAACAAAATTATGTAAACTCCGATTTTATGTTCCGTAGAGTACTCTGTGCAGCTCAGTATAAGGACATGGATTTCGCAGATATCATGAGTTATGAATTAACTGCTGTTCCTGTCTCTATTTTCCATGAAGATGGAACAATGAGAAAAACTGCTAAATCCGATCTTGCAACTAAATTCGAAACATATGGTCCGACTATGTTCGAATCACCTTCAGAAATTGATTCCTATTTCATTGATGGTATGATACTTCTACAAGAAATGAATCCAAAGTCATTCAGAACATTCCAGGAATTAGGTGAAGTACTGATGAACAAAATGATTCGAATATTCAAAGAACATCGGACATGTCGAACTATTTCTATTATATTCGATCGATATGATTTAGAGAACTCAATAAAGAGCAGCGAACGTATTAGAAGAGGACAGCATAAAATTGGTACCTATTCCATAAATGGATCAAGAAATGTACCTAATTATAATATATTTCTAAAGTCAACTTCGAATAAAATGTCCCTTATAAAGTTCGTTACCAAATATTTCATCGAATCTCACTTACGACTACCTACCAATAATGAGATTATTATTGCTGGAGGATTGGAGGATGCACAAATATGTGTGAAGGTAACAAAATCAATATGTCAATACTATACTGTATTTCATCTGGTGATTTTTCAGATACATCATTCTGGAACAACAGAAGAACCCCATTTGAGATGCAATCATGAAGAAGCTGATACCCGTTTGATTTTACACATTTCCACTCAGCGTAACAGTAAAATAATAATAAAGTCAGATGACACGGATGTCTTCGTTCTTCTTTTGTATTATTATTGGAATGATGATAATGTTAGATCCAATACCATATACATGGAGAAGGGCCATGGTACAGCTTACACAAATAGAAGGAGATTTGTTGCAATCCACGATGTAGCAAGGACTCTGAAAAAACGTACTTGCGATGGATTACCTGCATTCCATGTTTTAACAGGATGTGATACAACCAGTTCGTTTTTCAAGATTGGGAAAAAATCAGCATGGGATATATATCTGAAAAAAAAAGGAGAACTTATGTCTGGATCAGTTTGGAATGGAAAATTTTGAGAAAAGTGAGGAAATTGCTAGAAAGTTTGTCCTTTACTTATACAAACAAGAGAATTGCCAAGATCTCAACCAGGCCAGGCTAATTCTATCGAAAAATTCAAAAAAATCTGCCAAAGAGATTCCACCTACTGAAGATGCCTTCAATCTTCATGTCAAAAGGTAAAATGTGACTGAATAATTCATTTTATATTATAAATTATCAATAATTATTGTAGGTGCTATTACCAAATATCAATGTGGATAAACAGTCACGTAGGTTTGTATGATCAGCAAGACCCGAAAGAATTTGGTTGGCAGAAAGAAGAGGGCCACAATTACTTACTCCCAAAACTAATGTGTTTGCCTCAAATACCAGATAATGTGAGGAAAATTATAGATTTACACTGCAATGATGCAAAATGCATTCAAAGCAAATGTATATGCAAGAAAGAAGGAATGTTCTGCACTGATGAATGCAAGTGCAGAAAATCTTGTTCTAATATTGAAGAAGAACATGTAGAAATTGATGAAGCTGAAACCTTCTTCGAAATGTGAATCTATAAAATTGTATAATGCATTCCCTTTACAATGATTACTATTTGAATATAAATACATATTTTGGTATGTTATATTATTTCAACCTAAAGCAGAATCAGCTACTGAACACCACATATCCTGTATTTCAATGGCATCAGACACGATTAACATGGGTATCTAAGCGCTGAGGGATGCCGGCGGGACAACGAAGAACAGTGAGTACCGTTGCGTTCAATTGCCTGTGGCTGATTTACCTTTCTACCTAGATCTATACATATGCGAGACGAAATATACAGAAAAAAATTCCGCAGTTTTTGGTGCAAAAAATATTTGAATTGAATCAACGATGTATGACTTTCAGCGAGATAAATAAAATACCTTTTATTGAAATTTCGAAAAGGGAAGGGAATTATGTGATTTTTTTGGATTTTTTCTCAGAAATTATGGATTACCGAATAAACATTATGAAGACAATACATGAGCCTATCGATCAGTGAAAAAATCATTCAGATACCTCTATCAGACCAGTAGTTACAACGATTATATTTAAAAATTTGAAAATTGCAATTATTTCTCGATTTTTCCTCATAACTTTTGTCACGACCAACGTAGCGTGTTGTAGATTTCCATTCCTCATGTGAAATTACATGACAAATCGATCTGCATAGGTCCCATTAAGTTATACCGAAATTTTGGGTTGGTGCAAGATAAACCGTGGCTGCCGCCGGACTATATAACTTTTTATGATTTTATTGTTTTTTTTTCAAGGTTATTTTTATGTACATATTTTTTTAAAGAAAAATAAATATTGAAATGATTCTCTAGATGACTATGAAAGCCATATTGGAACATCAACAATGATCAATACCTAATTGATCATTATCTAGTCAAAATGTAATGCACCAAAGAATGAACTCTTCAATTTCCACACAAATTTAAAATCCCATACTGCAGCGGTGATTAAGAGAGCTGACACATGTGCGACATGTTCTCTAAAGACGACTGTACCTAATAGATTCTTCGACCAAACTAATAAAATCAGCATAAAAACTACCGTGGGTAACTTATCTCTGCCTATACATGCCTGAACAAATATAGATTTCAAAAAAATTATGAGTAAGTATATTATTGTCTGGGTACCTACATCTGTTATTCAGAGATACATTCTTTCTCAAAACGATATTACGAATCACCCTTTGAAGTTTCGTACTGTATAGTTATATATAGGAAACTCCTGAAAAGTACCCATTTTATGTTCGCTGCCAATAATAAATCTGGTATAAGTATGTATAGGTACAATAATTATTCCAGAAAATAAATGTAGACATCGATATTGTATGAAATAAAAATAGAATGAATAAATTTTGGATTGCAACTTGAATCATATTAGACATTGATGAAATTCCAAATATTATAGGTCATGAAGGGATTAGAATTTATTAGTCAAATGGCAAAAAAGTTAATTGTTGATATGGTAGACGCCAATTTTTTGTGGTTTCGTTATATGTTAGTAATACAATGATGAAATATATAATAATCATTCAACTCACCTAAAGTTTCAAATGCTATATAAGCTCTTGTTTCTTCAATGGTGGGCAACTCTTCAACTCTTCACCACCTTCTTCGATGGCTGGACACACACAAAAATTATTACAAAATGAATTGAAAAATCAATTTCAAATAATATCTATCCACGAATCTGTCATATATTTCTCCAATTTTACACTGAATTCACTAGTTTTCCTCAGAACAGAAAGCGTCTTTCAGAAACAACCGGCATTTTTTTCATTGACACCGATTCGGTTTGTGAATGTCATACAGGGTGTTTCAAAAAAACTGACCTTGCTATATAGGGTACAGAACACTGCAAAATATTATAGTGGGGTTTTATCAGTAACGGCATTCGTTTTCGAGATTCAAGGTGTTGAATGAAATGTTTTTTCGCACATTATTTACGATTATGTCGATACTATACTGGCAAAATTGTAATGTTAATTTTGTATGGATGTGTTTTGGAAGCTGACACATCGTATGCGATGAATTTGTTTTCATATCTGAATCTGACTCTCATAGAGGGCGCTCCCAGCCAACCATCGTGTGACATCAACATCTGTGTGATGTAACAACCTTTTATGAATGCAATATCTCGTTAACACATCTTATCGACGTAGATTCGATATCAACGTCGCAAGGTGACATCGCGACCAGGAAACTATGTAATGTGGCAGAGACTTCTTCAAACTACATCTCTTCGACGTTAACTAAATAATTCACATTGATATCCTCATGAGATATCTTTGTGACCTGTGAGTGTGACGCAGACATGCGCAAAACGAACGCACACGCCAGACGCCATGTTGAGCTGTGCATGGCCATGTCAGTCAGTGAATGAGTCCGACTCTGTAGACTATTTCCTTCCAAATTCTCTGTTGAAATATCTCAGATGATTTATAGCACACATATTATTATAGCAGTTTCAAATTGGAGGTATACAATCATATAAGAACGATCGACGGTCGTGAGTTCAATCACAATAGGTAATATTGTGATTACCTCTGAGATAGGACTATTGCAATCTAAAACAAGGTGGATGAAAGATCCCAAGATAATGTAAGTGTATTTGATATGTATCATTTATGAATAATGTGTATTTGTATTGTATTGCTACATATATGTGTCATGTTTTACTTCAAGATTACTAATTAGGGTGATTGTCATGATAAGTTTTGTATCATCTGTTTTTACTTTCGGAAAATAAACATTTTCTTCGTAAAGTTGAATGATTATTATTATTATAATATATGTTCCTTCGAAAATTACACAACTGACTTGATATAAGTGGACTGTATGACTGTAAAGTACGACTCACCCGAAAATTATTGATCCTGTGTTGGTTTTCTTCTTCTTGCATCAATCACTAGGTTGAAAAATGAAGGATAGGTCAGGAAGAAAAAATAGGATTCAAATTTAGGAGGTGATTGTTCTTCTTTCTCTCTTTTTTTGTGCACTCGTATAAAATTAATCTAAAGCACTTTGAATTTGCCACCAGTTTAATCGATCTTCGAAAATCTATGTTTATCAAGAAAATACCGACCGCCGTTCAATTTTAATTTCTATTGACTGCCTAAATTTCAGCGGAGCGTTAACTCTTTCAAAAAAACCAAAAGCGATGTTGCCAAACGTAAAAGGGAATTCAGCGTGAACATACCCCCGACCCTGAAAAATAGTTTTTCAGCAAAATGGAAAAATCATCAAAAAATATTAATTCAAATAAGGCCAACCATTCAGTTATTCATTTACAAAATAAAAGTAAAATATTCCTAGATCCCTATACCTCAAACTAGTCGACGATAAATCCCGACTACCTAACCTAATGAATTATATACAAGTCACTGAGTCGGTAAAGGGCATATTTTCACGACGGGACGAGTGAAAAAACCCTTGTTCGTTTTTACTACGACATTTCGAACGACTCCATCATTTCCAGGATGAATCTCTGTGACGATTGCCAGAGGCCAGTGTAAAGGAGGTGCATTATCCGTCTTTACAATAACCACTGAACCTACCTCAATGTTAGAATTATCTTTGTACCATTTCTTACGCGACTGTAGAGTATTCAAATATTCCAACCTCCACCGTTTCCAAAAATCCTGCACCATTCGGTCCACTAACTGGAATCTGTTTAAACGATTCAAAGGAATATTAGAAACGTCTTCACTGGGAAAACCGCGAAGTGGAGATAAAGTTAAAAAATGCGCTGGTGTTAGAGCATCAGGTGCCGAAAAATCAGACGACAAACGACATAACGGCCTTGAATTTAATAGAGCCTCTATTTGGATGATTACGGTAGACAACTCCTCGTACGTCAAGAGCTGAGTTCCCACAACCCGATAAAAATGACTTTTTACAGCTTTTACATTACTTTCCCATAAGCCGCCCATATGGGGAGCCGAGGGAGAATTGAAACGCCATTCTATGTTATTCATTATCAATTCCTTTCCAAACATTTCAACATATTCGGACGAATTAACAAATTCCTGGATTTCTTTCAAAACCGATTTTGCGCCAACAAAATTTGATCCATTATCCGAATAAATAAATCTTACCGGACCCCGCCTAGAAATGAACCTTTGAAAGGCTTGTAAAAAATGGTTTGTTGATAATGAACTGACCAGTTCTAAATGTATGGCCTTGACACTCATACATATGAATAGACTCACGTAGGCCTTATGCACCGCAGCATTTCTCCTTTTGCCAAGCGTTATCTGAATAGGCCCGAAATAATCTACACCGGTGTGCAAAAATGCCCGACTTTCTTTCACACGGGCCGGTGGTAAATCAGCCATTAGTGGAGATAAATTATTTGGATTCACGCGAAAGCAAATATTGCATTTATGTATTCGACTTCGAATTAAATTGCGCCCCCCTAATATCCAATATTTTTGTCTCAAAATTGCTTCTAACAAATGTGCTCCGGTATGAAGATGGATCTTGTGATAGAAATCTACTAATTTTTCCGTGAGAATATCCTTTGCTGGCAAGATTATAGGATGCATTCCATCAAACCCCAGATCAGCATTACTCAAGCGACCCCCGACCCTAAGCAAACCATCTTGAAAAAAAGGACGCAATTTTCTCAGCCTTGCTGTACATTCCTTGGCTGATAGTAATATTTTAATATCTGAACCGAAATGTTTAGTTTGGACAAGTCTTATCAAAATTGTCTCCGCTGTTTTTATATCACTAGCCAACATTAAACTTCGTTTCGGCACTATCCTCAAGAAACGAAGAACATAAACCGTTATTCTCAGAATCTTACTCCAAGACGAAATCCTATCCATTAAAAGTAAAAGGGAGTGACCCACATTGGGTTCCTCGTTGGTATAAAAAATTTGCAATGTTTCCGTCTCTTCCAGAATCATGGTTTTTTCTTGCCTAAAATACGGCCATTCATTTTCGGGAAGAACTAACCAGGGTGGGCCCTGTAACCAAACAGGGTGATCCACCAATTGCGAGGG